CCACCGCGCTCCAGGCCAACACCACCCCCGAGTACACCATTGGTATCCACAAGTCTGGCTCTCTGGCCGATGACCGTACGAGCGCGCTCGGCGACACTGATTGGTACAGCAAGAAGCTGCTGCCGCGCATGAAGGAATTCTACAAGGGCGACCTCGTCTGGGACAAGAGCGACGTCAAGTCGGACGGTCAAGACAACAGCCACATGTGGGTGATTTACAACGGCGGCGTCTACGACTTTACAAACTACTACCACACCCAAGACGTCTTCAAACAGGTTGACACGTACAAGTTCCTCAACACCAAGATGATGAGTGCTGTCGAGAACAACCCGGGTGAAGATATCACCGACAACTGGAACACCATCATCAAGGCCGCCGCCAGCAACTCGACCGAGAACACCAGCGTCCAGAACAGTCTCAACTGCGCAAAGAATTTGTTCTACAAGGGTATTCCAGACTTCCGCTACTCCGCCAGGTGCCAGGTCAACAACTACATCATGTTGGCCATGACGATTATTCTCTGCGCCGTCATTCTCATCAAGTTCTTGGCTGCCCTGCAGTTCGGTTCCAAGCGTCGTCCCGCTCCTCAAGACAAGTTTGTTATTTGCCAAGTGCCGGCCTATACCGAAGGCGAGGACTCGCTGCGAAAGGCGCTCGACTCTTTGACGGCCCTTCAGTACGACAACAAGCGCAAGCTCATTTGCGTCATTTGCGACGGTGTCATTGTCGGTGAAGGTAACGATCGTCCTACCCCCAAGATTGTCCTGGATATTCTCGGCGTCGACCCCAAGGTTGACCCGCCCGCGCTGCCCTTCAAGTCTGTCGGCACGGGCAGCGAGCAACTCAACTACGGCAAGGTGTACTCTGGTCTGTACGAATTCGAAGGCAACGTCGTCCCCTACCTCGTCATTGTCAAGTGCGGCAAGGAATCCGAGCAGAGCAAGGCCAAGCCCGGTAACAGAGGCAAGCGTGACTCCCAGATTCTGCTGATGAGCTTCCTCAACCGCGTCCACCACCGTTCTCCCATGTCCCCGCTCGAGCTGGAAATGTTCCACCAGATCAACAACATCATCGGCGTGGACCCCGAGCTGTATGAATATCTCATGATGATTGACGCCGATACCTGTGTCCGGGAAGACTCGCTCAACAGACTGGTTTCCGCCTGTGCCAACGACGCCAAGATTGCCGGTATCTGCGGTGAGACTGGTCTGCAAAACGATGACAAGACCTGGTGGACCATGATTCAAGTCTACGAGTACTTCATCTCCCACAACCTGGCCAAGGCTTTCGAGTCTCTCTTCGGATCCGTCACATGTTTGCCTGGATGGTATGTACCCTCACTTCTCACTTGCAGGACTAAGCTAACCAGTCAGTTTCACAATGTACCGTCTGCGCACCGTCGACAAGGGCAAGCCGCTCATTATCTCGGACAACATCATTCGCGACTATGCCGTGTGTGACGTCGACACCCTCCACAAGAAGAACCTGCTGTCTCTTGGTGAGGATCGTTACCTGACGACGCTCATGACCAAGTACTTCCCGTCCATGAAGTTCAAGTTCATCCCCGACGCGTACTGCCAGACTGCCGCCCCCGAGTCGTGGAGCGTTCTGCTGTCCCAACGTCGTCGCTGGATCAACTCCACCATCCACAACCTGTTTGAACTGATGAAGCTCAAGGAGATGTGCGGTTTCTGCTGCTTCAGCATGCGCTTCATCGTCTTTATTGATCTCTTTGGTACCATTATCCTCCCGGCGACGACCTTCTACCTCGGCTACCTCATCTACCTCGTAGCCAGTAGGACCGGACAATTCCCCATGATTTCCATCATTATGCTCGCCGCGGTGTACGGTCTCCAAGCCCTCATCTTTATCCTGAAACGGCAGTGGCAGCACATCGGATGGATGATCATCTACATTCTCGCCTTCCCCATCTACAACTTTGCGCTCCCCATTTACTCCTTCTGGAACCAGGACAACTTCTCGTGGGGTAACACGCGTATCGTCATTGGAGAAAAGGGCATGAAGAAGCTCATCGCCGTGGACGACGAAGGCTTCGACCCCCGCAGCATCCCGCTCCAGCGCTGGGACGACTACGCCATGATGAACAACCTCCCCGGCCGCCGCGGCGGCTACATGGAGAAGGCCGACATGGGCTACGACGACCAGTACGAGATGGACGAGATCCGCTCCGTCTACTCGTCCGTCCGCCAGGGCTCCGTCCTCACGGGCATGAACCGCAACAACCACTACGTCCCGCCCCAGTCGCCCGCGCCCTTTGGCGGCATGGCCCGCGCCTCGGGCGCCACGAGCCCCTACCACCAGGACCAGCACATGGCCAACCGCCAGTCCATGGTCTCGCTCGGCGCCCACGACATCCACCGCGGCCAGACGCCCTACCAGGACTTCCCCAGCAGCCGCCCGAGCGTCTCCAACCTCCGCGGCCAGGCCAGCGTCTCCCCCGGTCTTGGCGTCGGCAACAACCGCTCGCAGTCGGCCCTCGGCATCAACCGCCAGCAGGCCGGCGCCGCGCAGTCGACGTCGTCCTTCGACTTCCAGCGCGGCAACATGCAAGGACCCGACGACGGCATGATCATTGACGCCATCCAGGGCGTTCTGCGCGAGGTCGACCTCGACACGGTGACAAAGAAGCAGGTCCGCGCGCTCGTCGAGCAGAGGCTGCAGACGGGACTCGTCGGCGAGAGGAGGACGTTTATGGACAGACAGATTGACAACGAGCTGGCCAACATGTAGACTGTGTACGTGTATCGGCATCTTAACGGCAAATCGTACATAACGCGGGCCAGCTTTCATCTCTGTCGTATAATGAGGGCATTTTAAAACAAAAACTGGGGGCGTTGCGAATCTAGGGGCATGTCTTGGATACAAATCTTGTTTACAATGTTTCTTTCTCTTTATTTGGGGGCATATCGTAGTTCTTTGGCACCACATTCGCGGATGGCTTCCACCGGATAATACATCTCCTAGTAGTTCAAATTAATCTTTATGAGACAATGGACCTTCATTATGAATTGTGTGAACTGGATTTATTTTCACTCCTGTCTACTCATGTTCTCCGCTCCTGAATCTTGCCAACGCCGTTGAGCCGCAGGTAGACATCGGTGCCCCAGCCGTACAAGCTCTGCACAGCAATCCCACCGCCAAAGTACTCGGCGTACGCCCGACTCAGCGGCAGACCGTACCCGAGACCCGCAATCGAGCTCCCACCAGCGCTCGCGCTAGAAATCACATTTAGGCCACCATCATCGGACCCGGGAAACTCGTCGTCATCGGAAAAGGTGGTGAAGGAGTAGGACCAGATGTTGGGTAGCACCTCGGGGGAGATGCCGCCGCCGCGGTCGCGGATGCGAATCGTCACGCCGGGGACATTATCCTCGAGCGGCTTGATGGCGTCGCTCCTGAACTCGCCGCGCGTCTCCTTGGGCACTTCAATCTTGAGGTGCTGGTTTGGTCGGGGCGGCTCCGGGGCGATGGTGACGACGATGGGCTCCTTGTTATCCCTGGCTTCCACGGTGGCTCGGAAGGCATTCTTGAGGAGTTCGGTGACGATGTATTCGAGGTGCATCGGTATAAACGCAAACGTGGTGTCGGGCTCGCCGTCGATGACGAGCTGCGGCCGTACGCCGTACCGCAGCTCGCAAATATCCGCCACGAAGCCGGCACAGGACTCAATGATGTGGGCCGGCTTGAGGGCCGTGTCGATGACGCCAATGTAGCTGGGCTGCTCCGGGCACGGGGTCGGGCTGGCCTGGGGGTCAAAGTGAGGCTGGGAGCTGTAGTGCAGGGCAATGTGCTGCTCGGCGACGAGGCGAGTGCCGATGCGGGCGCGGAGGTGCTCGTCGAGGAAGCGGGTAACCTCTTGTGGAGAGATGTAGCGGCGGCACTCGAGGAAGCCACGGGCGAGGATGGGGATTGTGTCGGTGTGGGTTGCCACGAGCTCGGCGAGGACCTCTGTGAAGCGTATCTCGTCGTCGAGGGTGCGGACAGCGCTATCACCGCCCTTTGTCCACCAGGGGAGGAGGGTGGAGAGGGAGTGAACGTAGTTGTTGTAGATGCGGCTGATGTTGGGGTTGGAGACGACAATATAGGGTAGGTTGCGGAGGGCCTGGATGCGGTGGGCGAGGCGGATCGGGAGGAGGGAGAGGGTGAAGTTGGCCGAGGATAGCAAGGACTTTTCGCTCAGAGGAGGGCGGCCGTGTCTTTCGATGTTAGTGCTTGGATTGACATTCGAAATTCAAAGAGTGTCAGTACTTGACCAGGTCGGTAAGGCTCAAGGGATGCTGCGTCTTGTTGGCGAGCTGGACAATCTCGTGGTCGTCGACGCGGGACAGGTGGTGAGAGGAGCCATGGCGGTGACTGTGACGGTGACCGTGCCGAGAGGAAGAGAGCAGACGAGTGTTTGAAGAAGTATGGAGTTGTGCGAGTATCCTCTGGGGCGTCTTGGGCCTCAATGGTCTCGCTATGGGTATCATGGCGGCATTGTCGATGTTGCAAAGAGGAGTGATACGGTCAAGGGGAAATCCGTTGGGGGAGGAGGTTTCTGGTGCAACAGGCAGTAACAGCAGCAGCAGCAGCGGAAAGAGCATGAGATCATACGCTCTGGGACCTTAGCGCGTGGTTTGTGCACTGTCCTTTTTGTGGGGTTCCCAGTGGCTACCGACGGCCCCTGGGTGAGGTGGTCCGGGCTCTCCATGAGCCCCGCGCCGGGGGTGGTGAGACACTTGGACCTCTGTCGGCGGGGGCCGATTCCAAGCGCTTGATGCTGTTACGGAAGGTACCTCGTTTGTATGGATGAGGACCTTTATGGCAAAAGAGAACATGTTTGCCTAGCTGCCCTGACGAGGCAAGTTGCTACGAGCCAAGCGTCACAAACAATAAAACTAGTAAAGGAAGTGAAGCGTAAACCATTAAGAATCTCGTGAGTCTAAGGTATGTAGTGGATCAAGTACAGCTTGCCAGCCCCTCGCTCGCGATACATCCCTCTATTGCGTCTTGACCTCCTGGTCCTTCTCGACGTGCTTGACGTGCTCGTGGCTCTCCAGAGTTGAGATCTGGTCCTCGGGGAACTCGACGCTGTAGTTGGTAAGTCATCTGTACTGCTGAGGGACACGGGGGAGAGCGTACGAGAAACCCTTGATCAGGCTGTACTCGTGGCCAATCTTTCCTCCCTGGTCGGTGGCGTGCTTCTTGGCACTGGTTTGCTGTTAGTTCTTAGATCTGTATCGTCGTGAAAGAGAAGACTTACGCCGCGACCTGGTCGGCGGAGGCATCCTCCTTGCAGGTGACCTGGGAGAGGTTAGCTTGCTGGACGGTGACGGTGGTATTCAGTGTAAAGGAGCTGTATTCACAATGTAGGTAGGCATTCTGATGGATGTGGTTGGGTTTGTATGGTGGGAGTTGTAGTTTGTGGTTGTGCAAGAGCGAGGTTGAAGTTGACAAGCTCCCAGGTTGGACATAGGCCGGCAGAGTCTCTTTATAACCAAGCCGGCAGGACTCATGCCTGCCCGGTTTGCTAAGGGATGTGCTACCTTCTAGACGGTACACACCAGTGACAGTGACGGGATGGGTGTGGGAACTCGAGGTGGGCTGCCTACTGCGTACAGCCGGGAACTAACAGTGACGCGGAAAAGGTTCGTGGGTGGCCCAGCGAGTGGAGGGAAAGGTCCATGCAACCACAGCAACTACCTATCTGCTGCCCTGGACCGCGTGGGTGTGGACGCCTGTGTGGTACGTAAAGCATTGGATGGCACCAGCATCTGCTTGCTTCCTACTGTTCAGGAATTGCTTCCCTCATGCACACGCAATACGTCATCCCACCTTTGCGCGCCTCTTGAGCCGAGATGGTCGCCTCCATCTGCCTGCCAGACAACCAACAAGTTATCCCTCAGAGGCATCTATGGCGCATAGAGCGCATCCACAACACGACCGACGTGCACAGCCGAGATAAGACGCGAAAAGACTGACCAGATCTGGCGCCTCATGCATCTCGTTTCTTCACGCATCATCCTGCCGGTGCGCGCAGAGGATTGCGGAGCCTTGGATTGTCTTGTGACTTGGCCCAGAAACCAATCAATGCGTCCCCGGCCATCTCTCACCATCTCCCACCACCGGGTCGTCATCGCCATGCCGTCATTGCTGACCTAACCCTCTGCCTCAGTTGCTCTACCTTTTCGATGTACCTCTGTTCGTAACTCAAGGTACCGGTATGCATGAGTCCTTGCCAACTTCGTGTCGTATACCACCACCTCCTCATCCAACGTGGTCCATGACATTCCACAAAACACCCGGACACAATAAAACTTTGAAGAACCGGAATCGTAAAGACATCATCGTGTAAAGACCACGCCGCAAACTGTGATCCCATATCGTGGGGTCGGCTCAACGACGATCTCCGAGGGAGGGGCACAGAGGGGTAACACGAGGAAGTGGGGGCGCATACTGTCTTATCGATAGGCAGATTAGATAAGCCAGACCCGCAACAAATTTTTGATCGATAGCAGTCGAGTCGCGAAGCGCTGCGACGAAAGAAAAAAAAACCCAAGGCCCGCCTTTCGTCGTGTAGCTGCAGGACCTCCCAACATCTTTGGGCAACGCCGTCATGGAGGACCAAGTACACAAGCCTCACCGCAAGGCGAAGGACAAGAAGGGGAAGCAAAACACTGGGGGTGAGTCTTCTGTACTTATGACCACCCGCCAATTCGAATACTGACGAGCGCGCAGAGAAGAACCCAAAGGCCTTTGCCTTTTCTAACCCCGGAAAGCTTGCCAGGTCGGCCGCGAGATCTTCAGATGTGCGGCCCTTCCTCGTGCTCACATAGCATACCAGCAACTGACTTGTACCTTTACAGATCAAAGAACGACGCTTCCATGTCCCGCAAGTCGACCGCCTCCCCGACGAGCCGCCACCGAGGCTGGTCACCATCGTGGGACCCCCCGGTGTCGGCAAGACGACCCTCCTCAAGTCCCTGATCCGACGATACGCAAAGGAGACCGTGTCCGACCCCCAAGGCCCCATCACCGTCGTCACCTCCAAGAAGCAGCGGTTGACCTTTGTCGAGTGCCCCAATGAGCTCGAGGCCATGGTCGACATGGCCAAGATCGCCGACATTGTCCTCCTCATGATTGACGGCAACTACGGATTCGAGATGGAGACGATGGAGTTCCTCAACATCCTCGCCGCCACCGGTATGCCCGGCAACGTCTTTGGCATCCTCACGCATCTTGACCTGTTCCGGAAACCCCAGGCGCTGAGGGACGCCAAGAAGCGACTCAAGAAGAGGCTATGGAGCGAGCTGTACGCCGGCGCTCACCTGTTCTACCTCTCTGGTGTCATGAACGGACGTTACCCCGACCGCGAAATCCACAACCTCTCCCGTTTCCTGTCCGTTATGAAGAACCCGCGCCCCCTAATCTGGAGAAACTCCCACCCGTACACCATCATCGACAGCTACCGAGACATTACGCATCCCACAAAGATTGAGGAGGACCCCATGTGCGACCGGTCGATCGTGTTGTCGGGATACCTGCGCGGCACCAACATGACGCAGCAGGGGCAAAGAGTTCACGTTCCGGGACTGGGCGACTTTACCGTGGCGAACCTCGAGGTCATGCCCGACCCGTGCCCGACACCCGCCATGGAACAGGCCCTCGCCAAGGTCACCGGCAAGACGACACGACGACGCCTGGATGAGAAGGAGAAGAAGCTCTACGCCCCCATGTCCGACCGCAGCGGTCTCAAGATTGACGGCGACGCCATCTGGATCACGAGGGAAAAGGGTTTCACGCTCGACAAGGACGCCGAGGACGGCGAGCGCGGCGAGGGCGAGGAGCTCATCGTGGGACTCCAGGGCGAGCGGAAGCTGCTGGGCCAGACCGAGGAGGGCGTGCAGCTCTTCCGGGGAGGCGAGCAGCTGAAGCAGGTGGCCGAGGAGGAGGACACGGGCAGAAAGACGCAGCGCCACGCACGCTTCGCAGACCGCGACGAGGAATCCGACGCCGAGATGGACGACGACGAGGGGTTCGTTAGCGGGGAAGACGAGGGCGAGTCCGATGTGGAAGAGGAGTTCAACGAGGGCAAGCTGGGCAAGATGTTCCGGAAAACCGCCGACAAGGACGCCCAAGAGGACGACATTGCCTTTGCCGACAGCGACTCGGACCTCGGCTCAATATCGGGACTCGAAGACGAAGATGAGGACTCGGAAGAGGACATGGACGACGAGGACTTTGACTCAGACGAGGAGGCGGCGGCCATGAAGTGGAAGGAGAACATGGCAGAGCGCGCAAAGAAGCTCCACGGCAAGCGACGCTCGTACCACACACCGGACCTGGCCAGGTTCATGTACGACGAGAAGCTGTCGCCCGACGAAGCGCTGCAAAAGTGGCGGGGCGAGGATCCGGAAGAAGAAGACATCGAAGCGGACGAGGACGACGACTTTTTCCAAAAGTCCAAGCAGGACAAGGAGGACAAGGTCGAGGACCGATCGATACCCGTGTACGACTACCAAGATCTGGCAGCGAAGTGGTCGCAGGCGGCGGCCGTCGAGGCTCTGCGGAAGCGCTTCACCACGGCGGGCATGCGTGACGACGACGGGGATGACGATGACGAGTTTGACGGCATCGACGATGATGAGGAGGACGAGGACGATGAAGGTGACGGTGTCTTTGAGGACCTCGAGACGGGCGAGCAGCACGGAGGGGACGCGGAGGAACCCACAGAGGAAGAAGCGTTCGACACGGAGCGCGAAAAGAACGCGAAGCGCAAGGAGGAGCTCAAGTTACGCTTCGAAGAGGAAGACCGCGAGGGTTTCATGAACGACAAAGCCAACGCCAGGCGGGAAGGCGCGGCAGGCGACCAGGAGTTCGGCGAGGACGACTGGTACGAGGCGCAAAAGGCCGTCATCCAGAAGCAGCTCGACATCAACAAGGCCGAGTTCGAGACGCTGGACGAGCGGCAGCGGGCGGCCGTCGAGGGCTACCGCGCCGGCAAGTACGCAAAGATTGTGCTCGAGGGCGTCCCGGCCGAGTTTGTCGAAAAGTTCAACCCGCGCAACCCCATCATCATCGGCGGCCTGTCCCCGACCGAGGACCGCTTCGGCTTCGTCCAGGTGCGCATTAAGAAGCACCGCTGGCACAAGAAGATTCTCAAGTCCAACGACCCCTTGATCTTCTCCCTTGGCTGGCGTCGCTTCCAGACCATGCCCATCTACAGCACCTCGGACTCGCGGACGAGGAACCGCATGCTCAAGTACACACCCGAGCACACGCACTGCTTCGCGACCGTCTACGGCCCGCTCATCGCGCCCAGCACGGGTTTCGTCTGCTTCAACTCCTTCTCGCCCGAGAACCCGGGCTTCCGCATCGCGGCGACCGGCACCGTCCTCAGCGTCGACGAGTCGACCGAGATTGTCAAGAAGCTCAAGCTCACGGGTACCGCCGACAAGATCCACAAGAACACGGCCTTCATCAAGGGCATGTTCAACACGGCGCTCGAAATCGCCAAGTTCGAGGGCGCCGCCATCAAGACCGTCTCGGGCGTCCGCGGTCAGATCAAGCGCGCCCTCTCCAAGCCCGAAGGCCACTTCCGCGCCACGTTCGAGGACAAGATCCTCTACAGCGACATCGTCTTCCTCCGCGCCTGGTACCCGATCAAGCCCCACCGTTTCTACAACCCAGTCACCAACCTCGTCGGGTGGCAGGCGATGCGTCTTACCGGCCAAGTCCGCCGCGACGAAGGCATCGACACGCCCCTCGAGAAGAACAGCCAGTACCGCAAGATCGAGCGCCAGACGCGGCACTTCAACCCCCTCAGAGTCCCGCGCGCCCTGGCCGCCGAGCTGCCCTTCAAGTCGCAAATCGTGCAGCAGCGCAAGCAGAAGAAGGAGACGTACATGCAGAAGCGCGCCGTGGTGCTCAACAAGGAGGAGAAGACGGCGCGCAACCTGCTGCAGCAGCTGTCGACGATCCGCAACGACAAGGTCGCCAAGCGCGCCGCCAAGAAGGAGGAGAAGCGCGCAGAATACCGCAAGAAGATTGCCGACTCGGACGAGAAGAAGGAGGCGCGGGAGAAGAAGGAGAGCAAGGAGTTTTGGCGCAAGAACGGGCGGAAGCGCCAGGCGGCCGACGATGGAGGCGGTGGTGGCGGACAGAAGCGCAGCAGAAAGTAAATATTCGGAACACGGAAAACGGGAGACTAAAAAGCAAGTAAGAGAGAGAGAGACAGAGTATGTGTAATCAAGGGCGCTTGGCTGTCATTTGCATTAGACGGCGCAGGCTGTGAAGCCTCTCAGTAGGGTATCTAACTTCAAAATCATTTCCTTGATACGTGCCCGTCGCTTGTGTCTAGTTGCGCCTTGTTTTCTTCGTATACCACCAAGCCTCTGATGGCTATTGGGAGGACCTCGCTTCACAGTGATTACGAGGCCGGTGACTTACGGCACGATACTCAAAGTACTCAGCCTTGGTGACATACGGTGCCGGATTCTCCAGGACTCGTCTACCTGCCAGCCCAATTAACATCATCATACGCTCAAACCGTTGCCATTCTCGTCTTCACCATGGCCAACTCGGAACTCTTGGCCCATGTGCCGCTCGGGGTCTGCCGGTAGCACACAAGCTTGCCATCATCACCAGTACTGGCCAGGATCTGTCCGTCATCGTCAAACCCGACGCGCCAGACGGGCGTGCGGTGGCTGTCGAGCTTGGCGACTTCCTTAAAGACGTGCTTCACTTGGCCCGGCTGCCCCGAAAAATGCCGTTCCGCATGCGAGCCAGACTTTGCCAGGCTTGCGCTGAGTCCCGATTGATGCTGCTGTTGCTGTTGCTTGTCGTTCGTCTGCCCTCCCGCCTTTGCCGATGCTTGCGCATAGTGATTTTCGTGCTTGGTGAGCTCCGTCGTGGCCCACGTCTTGCCGTCGTCGGCCGAGTGCGGCGTGTCGATGCGGAACACGCGCACGCAGCTGTCCTGGCACGCCGTCGCGATGGTATCGTACCCTCGGATGTTGCCCGTCGCCCACGCCACGTCGCGCACGAGGCCGCGGTGGACGCCCACCTCGACGGCAAGGTAGAACTCTCGTTGTGTCTGCGCCACGCCATACGAAGTCGCAATCACGTCCCTCGAGCGGTAGATCTTGACCGACGACATGCCTGCCACGACCAGCCCCAAGGAGTCGCTCGCCACACCCGCCCGCAGGGCGTTGTAGCACGGGTCCAGGTTCGGGTCGAAGCGGACCTTGAAGCTAATCTCCTCGCCGCGGCTCGGCTTGGGGCAGATGCTCAGCTCGTCGATTTGTGTGTATTCCGACATGTTTTCGGGCTGTTCATTCTCGTAGACCACCAAACGGCCCTCGGTGGAGAGCAGGGCGAGGTACGTGTGCCGCGTCTCTTCGTTGTGTTTCATGGAAAAGGAGCGGTAGGGGTATTTGGGAGAGCGCATTTCGTAGGCGGCTTTGCTCGTCGTCGCGCGGCTGCTGGCGCTGAATCGGCGGCCCGGTGCTGCTGACGGGTCTTCCGCCCACAGCTTGAAGCGGCCTTCTATGCCGAGGGAGGCGATGAGGTTCGGGTAGACTGTCGGGGGGAGCCATTGGAGCTGGGGCGAAGAGGCAGGGGTCAGCGATTTCGTTTTGCTTGCGGCTCCTGTATTCATACCTCGAGGATCTCACCGCCGTGGGCACCCCATGTATCGCAGTGGTGCCAGACGCCGTCCTTGTGCCGGTTGAAGACCTTGATCTTGCCGTCTACGGACCCTGTCGCGCACCGGTCGCCGTAGGCGTTGAAGGCGACGGCCTGGACGAGGTCCTGGTGTCCATGCTGGAGGTTTAGGTCGAATCCGGTCTTTTCTTCGGCAATTGCAGGTACTTCGTGAGGGTACGTCGCCATCTTGCGCCGAATTGGGTGATGGGGAGCTGGTTACAGTACTCGTACAACGAGGTCGTGGTGTTGTAGATGCGACCGAGTTGAAGGTCGAGCGAGGGAGCTCTGCCCCGCGCATTTAGCTCCGGTACGTACCGATCTGGTGACAACCTCAACTTCAGTCAATAATACAAGCAACAGAGGGGCTAAAGGCCAATTTGCAATTACAAAGGCGTCTAGAGATTGTAGAATAATGAGTATTGGCGGATTTCCAAGTTTATTAAGCCTGAGATACAGACAATTGATCTCACGACAACCCAAACCATGTCTATGATGTATCAAGACATAGTGACACAGAACAAACAGTCCAAACACATGCTCCAGGGTCTCAATCAGTCATTGAAAGTGTTGAAGAACAATGCAAATTCAAGGCTATGCTGTGTCATTTCATCTACATCAAATACCACCCATGTTAATTACCCCCTTCAACGTTGATGCGCAGCTCCTGTAGCTTCTCATAGAGCGCCGGGATGCCTTTCCCAAACGCAAGCGAATGCGGTACATCCTTGAGGGGATGGACCGGTCCGTAGCTGACATTCTCAACAGTGACCAACAAGTTGCGCACAAAGTTGCCGTCCCAGAGATTTTCTCGCTGCGGGTAGTTTCGCAGCACCCCAAGGGCTTTCCCCTGGATAACGGGATCTTGACAGGTAACGAGTATAAAGTAGAGGGGCGGTATAATCCCGATATCGAGCGTGAACGACCGAGGCATTGCCCCAGATTCGCGCTGCTTGGCAACCAGCCCTTGGTGTAGCAGGGCAGCTAACGACACGAGCTCCGCGTGCTGGGCGACAACGTCGGGCGATTGCTGCCTCTGGTGCGGCTTCTGATGCAGCGTCTGACATATCAGACGCGCGCACTTGTAGTGGAGCATGTCGAGGCAGATAGAGTGGTGCTCTTCGGTACCGCTCGCGGGGGCTTGGGGCCTTTCCATGAAGCGTTGGAAGAGACCCGTCAGGTGATTGCCCCGTTCCATGAGGATCTCGTGCTGGCGGTGCGGTACGGGGCGAGCCCAGAACTCGTCGTCGCCTTGTTGCTCCTTTGTCAGCCAGACCAGGGCAAACACGTCACGCGTGTATTGCACGATGGCTCGATGAGCATCCGCTATGGTCTCGAACTCGTCCAGCAGCGTGTCGTCGAGCTCTCTCCCCTCATACAGCTTGATGGCGATAACGGGCTTGAAGTTCTCAGCAAAGAGCGCGCACGAGATCTCCCAGGTGGCGAAGAGTCTCAGGATGTAGTCCATTGACAGGACGTCTTCCGAGGGGTCTGCGCCAGCATGAGGGGGCACAGCGTCTCGCAGCTCATTGAGCTTGCTCATGGGAAGACTCTCAATGATGCGCAGGCCATTCGAAAGATGTGTCAGCGCTGGTCGCCAGTTATTCCGCAAGGACTCGATGCAGACAAAGGACACGCAGCAGAGGAGAGTGACGGTGATCCTGTCCTTCATCGGAACGTGGGCATAGCTGGAGAGCTTGGACATGGCCGTGCCGTACTGCTGGATAGTGAAGATTTCGAGCTCGCGGGGAGGCGCCTCTCCGCCACGAGGAGGAGCTGTCTGATACATGTGATGGGCAGAGCCGAGGGCGACAATGGCGTGCTTCACGGCGTCGTCCGAGTGGCTTAGCTGGGTTGCGAATCGGCTCCAGAAACTGGTGAGATTCGTGACATGGTTGGAGAGGCCGGCCTCTGCCATGCGGCGGAAGCGGTGGAAGTAGACGCGCTCCGTGTGTGTACCGTCAATGTCGGCAACGAGGGGACGCAGCAATCGAGGGTTCTGGCTCTCAGACAAGACTCGGATGAGTAGAGCCTGGGGAACAAGAGCATCGCTGTCTCTTGGCCGAACTGGCAGGCCTTTATCGTAGCCGTCGCAAGCCCGGCCTGTTGACGTGCAACGCGAACAAGCGGGCCGCTCCTCTCCGCACTTGATACGTCTGATTCTAGGGGTCGAGTTAGTATCGGTGAGAGGCCAAGCACAAGTTGAGGTCTTACTTGCTACCACCGAGTCAGTTAAGGTTGATCACAGCGGTTCCGAGAGACTTACCAAGTCAGACAGCCGGTCCGCACTTTGGGCTTGCTTGCTCTTTTTCGCTTCGCGGTGATGATTGCCTTCTCTAGCGTAGGCGTGGCAATGCCGCTTTCCTGTGATGTAGATGCCATTCGTGACGAAGCATCCGGCAGATCTAGTAATCCCGGGCTTTGTCTGTTTAATTAGGGCTGAGATGGATTGCGTAACGGCGCGATGGGCTGATCAGTCATATCAATCATGGAGTAATATGACGAGAATCTCCTCCTCCTTGTCCATGCCCGGTTGAGTAGCATTGGCGGCGTGCTCGATGCCAAGACAAGATCAGGATGCCAGTCCGAGCCGTCGTTGAAGTTGATGTTGACTATAAGGGACCGGCTGGACAGTAGACTTTCGGGCGAAGGAGGCTACCCGCGGTCAACCGTAACGTGCAGGCTAATTATATTTGATGAATGGGGCGAATCCAACTCAAGGTTGACGCGACTCGGTCATTATCCGTTGTCGTTACTGGCGTGGAGTTTCTTCCGTCTTTATTGCTGGCCCCACCAACCTCGCCGACCCTCCGTCGAAGGCCGGTGTTCGGTAACTTAGCAACGGACTCGATAAATGAAAGCTGAAGAACTGCGACCAGATCAGGAGGTGTGTTTGTGTTTGAATCCGGGTAGTTGGGACGAAGACAAGAATCTATACATAGCATGCCCTGTAGAGCTATTCCCGTTGTGGCCTAGAATATTGCTTAGTTGCTGCCCACCCCGCAATTCAGCGTTGCTCAACAGCAAGTCAGCTACAGTTCGTGAATCATCCAATGTATATTCACCCAGCATCTCGAATACACCACGACCGACAGCCCTCATATACCCCTTCAGGTCCATTCCTGTCACCAGCCAGCAAGCGCCCCTTTGGGGGTCAGGTCAAAACTGGCTGAGTGGTGGAGTGGTTGAAGTCCACGAACAGCCTAATCGGTGAAGGCTCAGAGGTCCCGAGTTCAAGTCGACAAAATCCCAGCATGTGCACCAAGAGATGTAGCCCCCATTCGCCACCGGGGGGGTGAACTCTTTTTAGTTCTACCTCAAAGTGAGACTGTCCAATTGTAGTGTAGATAGGGCCGGGCGATGGCATAACAACTTATTATTACCTACCCTGATCTGTATATATTGAATTTATGTCCATACTCTAATCGTTATCATTACTTTACCCTCATCTACGCGCCCATGTCTCCTGGCCTCAGCTGGCTGACACGCTGCTTGGCCCGCTGCTGCTTCTTGTTCTTCTTGATGTTCTTCCACTCCATAAACAAGGCGCAGATGAGCGTCGCGAGAGACAGCCCCATGCCGGCCAAAAAGATGCGCGTGCAGGCGTAGTTGTACGCTCGGACAACCACGTCCAAGAACTGCGCCGGCACAACAGTGTGCAGGTTGGTGGCGCCAGTGTTGACGATGGCTTGCGCAGACAGCCCCGGGATGCCCGAGAGCTCCGACACGAGCAGGTTGCTGAGGATGGACTGCCCAACGGAGACGAAGACTGCGGCTCCCAATTGCTGGGCAAAGAAGCTGATGGAGACGCCGGTCGACACGTCCTCTTTGGGGAGAACCGCCTGTACCGCGAGCCCAACGGTCTGCATGCCGAAGCCCAGGCCGAATCCGGTCAGGAACTGGTAGCCGATCCAGTGGCCGGAGCTGATGCCTGGTTGGAAAGTGCTCATCAGGCCCAGGCCCACGGACATGATGCAGGGGCAGAGGATCATGGACGGGACGTAGTATCCAATCTTTTGCGTCGCGCCACCGGAGATGATGGAGGATACCACGATGCTGAGGACGAGAGGGATGGTGTAGATTCCCGAGTTGACCGGGTTGGCTCCCTGCACAGCTTGGACTGGAGGTTGTTAGCACGTATTCATTAATGTTGATCGCATTACTTACACCAGATGGGCAGGTAGTACACGGCCAGCATCATCGAGCCGGCCAAGAACAGCATGAAGAAGGCACCCGCCAGCATGGTTCTTTGTTTGATGATCCTGACAGGCACAGTGGCGGTCTTGGGCATAAAGACCTGCACGGCAGCGAAGGCCATGAAGCCAATGCCGAAAACGACAAACAAGGCGATGATGCGGCCGTCGTTCCACGCGTACTCTGATCCGCCCCACTCGAGCGCCAGAAGGAGGGATACCACGGAGGGGACGAAGAAGAACGTTCCCAAGGGGTCGAGGCGCTTAAAGTGTTGGAACAGCGTAGCCGGCTCTTGAGGCTGCCGCCTGGGAGCCTTGAGCATGAAGAACAAAAAGACGAACGCCACGCCTCCAATAGGGAGGTTAATGTAGAAGCACCATCTGCGTCTTGTTAGTTGCGCCACAGCCCATAGGCTTCTGAAGCACATACCTCCATGTGACGTTGCTCGTGAAGCCACCGCCAACCAAGGGTCCAATGACAGACGCCAGACCGAACACCATGCCAAAGATGCCTTGGAACATGGGTCTCTTGTGCAGCGGGATCATGGGAATCATGACCATCATCGCTCCCGTAAAGATGCCAGCCGAACCAACACCGGCAATGGCTCTGCCCGCAATGAGCACCGACGAGCTCGGCGCCACACCGCAGATTAGCGAACCAATCTCAAAGATGAGGATGCTTCCAAGAAATGCTCTACCGTTGTGTTAGCATGCTTACAGAGTCAGTGACCATCGAGACTCACCCCCTCAGGCTGTAAAACTTGTAGATTCTACCAAACACCAATTGCGAGGCCGCAGTCGTGAGCATGTACGCTGAACCGTACCAGCCGATATCGCCAAGACTTTGAAACTCATCAGTGATGCGTGGGATGGCCGTGGCAATGATTGTGCGGTCCAGAGCAACGAGAAACATTGCTACAAAGTTGGACAGAATGACGAGCCAAAAGGTAATGGTTTTCGGCTTGAAGTTTTCCTCGGCTTCATCGAAAACGGGCGGGGGCCCCGTGGATGGTCCCCCTTCGATATCGGCCTTTTCATCGACGTCGTCGTCGACGTCTGGCTGCTTGGCCACATCGTTATGGCTCTCGTTTGCTGATATCGCCGAGGACTGAACTGTTGCCTTTTCTGTTGGTCTCTCGCTCTCAATTTCGGGTTCGATGGGCTTCTCCTCGGATGACTTCTTCTGCTGCCGCTCGTCGCTTTCTCTCGGAGTCAAGGTCCGCGTGGAGCTGTTGGACGTCTCCACCTCACGGGTCTTCTCTGAGGCAGTATCGCCCTCGACGGGCCTCGCACCTGCGTCCGCCATGTTGAAGCTGTCGTGAGGATTTGGGCAGCTGGAAGATTTCGAGTGAAGCCACGAAATGTAAACAAAGAATGTAGCACGCGCAAATCTTTTGAGGCTTGGCAGCGGGAAAATGTTGATTAATGGAACGGGGAGGGAGCTAGAGGTTCGTCCGGACTCTCGAGCGCACGGTCAGATCTCAAGTTACAGATCACGTTCGGACCACGAGCTCGTCTGGCGAAAGAGACACTAGGACGGGGTCATGGAACTAAGAGGCGAGGATCGCTATATATGGCGAGCCTGGCCATCGCCGCCATTCTGCCCTGCTTGCTTATCTTGGACGTGGTGGCCGGCAGCATAGTGTGACAGGCAGAGGGCGCGACGCGAAGCCACGCAAGGCCATCATAGCCCGCATAGGAATGTCTCACAAGAAGAAAGTCATGACGAGATCCAGAAGCCGACTTGTCAAGGCCGATGGGGATGTCCAGAGAAGGATGCTTTGCCCAGTTCTCGCCCTTGTCTTTGGGTGGTGTACGGACATGGCGTTGCAGTTGCTCGGGCACCGGAGGTCGATGTTGTGTCCGGGCAAAGGGTGGAGCTTGCCCTCTTCCGGCATAGTGCCGGGTGCTCGGGTATCTCACAGCAATCTCCGGCTTACCTAAGGGTCTCTACTACGCACTTCAGCTGAAGGAGCTTGGGCCATTTTCGACCTCTTGCAGGCGCGGGCCACGGGGAGGCCAGCGCCGATGGTCCCCCTTCGGTCCCGGGCGGGTAACGTAGCTGACCGCAGTCCCCGCTTCCTCTGATGTTCATCTTACAACCATTCAGTTTCCTTTGTAGTCTCAACACGAGAAGGCACGAGAGGCCCAAGTTAAGCAAAGAGCCTCAATTCTTAGCACCGGACTGACCAAGTTGACAGTCATGTTGTTCGTCTCATAGGCTAGACGTCCCCGTATGTGACTTTTGCATACTCTCTGTCATACCACCTCGATTGTTTTGTACGAATTGTGATCCGGATCGTCCGTCTCTAAGCTCTTGCCTGCTCGTTCCTGGCCATCTACACTGCCCGCATACAGGATACGGCACTTCAACCTATCCCGGGACCGTCTTGTACACCATCACATCGATAGCGTCTCGGTCAATAATACAGCTCCCTCCTCCGATCCTGGCAAGAAGTTTGGCGGCAGCATCTGGAAGTGCTTCTTCATTGGATATCACTCTTTAGACTCACATGCTGCATCCCGTCAACGTTTCGCCTGCAAACGTCACCCCTCGGATCCGAGTTGGGAACAAGCCAGCCGACGAACCACGTCTGCAAGGTGGCTGACTGTCGCGTCGTCGTTGCATCTCAAGAGAGAGGCATCCACATAATACTGAACCATGTCGTCGGGAGAAGCCCAGCTCCCACCCCCGCCGAGGGCAGTTCCTCCACCCGCACCCGAACCCGACCCCATGGCAGCGATGAAGCTTACCAGGGGGACCTCGTGTGTGCTGTGCCAGCAACGAAAAGTCCGCTGCGACAAGAACAAGCCGTGTGCCAACTGCGTCAAGGCCAGGGTAGAGTGTCGAGTAATACCACCACAGCCGCCCAGAAGGCGCAAGAAGCGTCTTCAGGAACGCGATCTCGTCGACCGCCTCAAAAAGTACGAATCCCTCTTGGCGGAGAATGGCGTCAAGTTCGACCCCATCGCCGCCGAGCTCAAGGCCGGCGATAGGAACTCGACACACCTTGACGACGACCATATGCTCGACGAGGATGCCGACCTCGCAAACGACTTTGAGGGGCTAAAGACCTCGCCCGAGGGGAGCACATCCCCTTCCGTGGCAGGGAGTCGGAGATCACAATCCGATAAGTGCGCAGGCCCACTCCCTTACACTTGATCGTCAGCTAACTCAATCCCAACTAGGCCATTTAGCAAATGGTTTCCCTTTCACAAAGAGGTATGTTTTCTTACCTTGCTTTGCCATCCGCACATCTAACTTGGATTCAGTTTCGAGCTAGCGAGGAGCTGTTGCGAGACTCGTCAGAAGACGAGGTTGACGGCTCAACCATCCATCACGCCTTTGACAAGATGTACGATAACCAGGACGGCTTTCCATTCATCGTGGGAAGTCGAAACGCCTCCGTGACGCATCTCCACCCATCACCTATCCAAATCTTTCAACTGTGGCAAATCTACATTAACAACGTCAACCCCTTACTCAAAATAACGCATGTGCCAACGGTACAGGGCCTTATCATCGAGGCCAGCGCCAACCTCGAAAAGATCCCAAAGAGCGTCGAGACGCTCATGTTTGCTATTTACCTCATGGCAGTCACCTCCATGGAAGACGTCGACGTGGCAAAGATGTTCAACGAGCCAAAGCCTACCGTCCTGTCAAGGTTCCACACCGCACTTCAGCAAGCCTTGGTCAACGCAGGCTTCATGCGGACCAGTGATACGATGGTCCTCCAGGCTTACATGCTCTACTTGGTAAGTCATCACACAACATTTGAGGAAGCACGCTGACAAGCTAGATTGCCGTTCGCATGTTTGTCGACCCGCGGCAAATATTCTGTCTCGTTGGTATCGCCGTGAGGATAGCCCAACGGATGGGCCTCCACCGCGACGCTGCCGCATTCGGCCTGTCGCCGTACGAAGTCGAGCAACGCCGGCGGCTGTGGTGGACCATTGTAGGCTACGACCGCCGGATAGGAGAGATGACGGGGTCGACCGTGACGGCCCTGTCTACCGCCGCCGACTGCAAGCTGCCCCTCAACATCAACGACACAGACCTCCACGTCAACGGCAAGGACGCCCCGACCCCGCATCAGGGCGTGACGGAGATGCTCTTCGTCCTCATCCGGACAGAGCTGGCCATGGCCATCAGCAGCGACACCTTGCGCGACGGTCAACGCCACAGCGACAAGGACAAGGACGCCGGCGGCGGCGGAGGCACCGGCACCAGTACCGGCCCCCAAGCCCCGCCGCGCCCCATCTCAACGGTGCGCATGGCCGGCCAGGACCAAGTCTACACCCTCGACGGCTTCTTCGCGCACATTGAAGGCACGTACCTTAAGTGGTGCGACCCCAAGATCCCACTACACTTCTTCACCCTCACCATGACGCGACAATCGCTCTGCAAGATGCGCGTCATCTCGTTCCTCGTGCGCATGGGCAACGGCGAGGCGACGACGCTGGCGGAGCACGAGCGCGACACGCTCTTCCTCGAGGCCGTCCAGATGATTGAGTACGACAACGTCGTCCAGGCCGCCGACAGCCTGCAGGGGTACAAGTGGTACACGTACCTCCACTTCCCGTTCCCCGCGTACATGTTCTTGGTGACGGAGCTGCGGCACAGGTTGACGGGCACCATGGTCGAGCGCGCGTGGGACGCCATCGCCGAGAACCACGAGCGGAGGGGTCTGATGAGCACGCTGCACAGTCCCATGCACATTGCGTTTGGCAACCTGTTCATCAAAGCGTGGGACGCTCACGCGGCTGGGCAGGAGCAGATTGGGAAGAAGCCGGTGCAGGAGCCCATGTGGATCACGAGACTTCGGCAGCGGGCGGAGAAGATGGGGAAGAAGCAGCACGGGGGTGGGGGTGTGGGTGGACGCCGGCCCGGGCCGGAGATGGGCATGGGCGGTCCCGGCGTCGGTGTTCCACCAGGCGGCGGCGTTTCGCAGCAGGCGGGTGGCGTGGGTAGGGCAGCGCCGGTGAACAACACCGCGTCGCAGCTCCCGATGCAGCAGATTCCGCAAAACATGATGATGACACCGCCGTCCGTGACGGCGGGCACGCCAGTGATGAACCCGCCTCCGTCCGAGGCCGACGTCATCGACATGGACTGGAGCTACCTGATGCAAGGATACGACATGGACACGTACGGGGCCTTTGGAGGCGGTTTCGGTGGGTTTCCCATGGGCGGGAACGGCATGGTTGGCGGCGGACCCGGCATGATGGGCAACCCGGACGGTAACAACATGTTTGGAAATTAGGGGTCTATCAAAGTATCTGGGGTCTTTCTACCTGGACCTTAAACCATCTTTATTACGATGTAATGAATTCAAACGTGCTAGCGAATAGCACTTGTACTTTTTTTTTTTAGCAGCCATTCGTCTTTCCAACCCACGCATCGTCCGTGACCACCTTTTGCGTAGAGTTGCACGCCGGCACCGTGAGCGTGCGGTTCCTCTCCTCGTAGAGAAAGCCGCAGCTCTGTTTCCGCACGTAGACGTAGCTGACGTTGGACCCGCCGGGAAGCTCGACGTCGACGCTCCAGAGCGGGCGCTCGGCGGTGTACCCAGACGCCGACATGGGCTGTCCGTTGTCGACGTTCCACGCGCCGAGCTCGGCAATGTTGCCCAGGAGAGAGAGGCCTTCGCCGTAGTAGGTGGTGGCGTTGACGAGGAAGGTGACGGGCACGGTGCAGGAACCCGTGACGTCGGGCGCGCCGGCGGCGGTGGCGGGAACGTAGACGCCGGTCGTGGTCGAGGCGGCGCAGGTGGCGGGAACCTCTGATGCGGCCTCCGGCACCCAGCTGGGCGGGTACTGGCCGGCGCGGCGCTCGGCCATGGTGATGAAGGCGGCGTAGGACCAGGTGAGGTCGCGGGCCGAGGTCGGGGATCCGGTGGTCTTGTTGAACTGCTCGGCGAGGGCACCGTCGGCGGGTGTGTACTTTTGTGCGATCTCGACAAAGGAGTCGGCGTAGGCGTTGACGGCCTTGACGATGCCGGCGTAGTCGAGAGTGGAGTTGCTGTTCTTCTGGTAGGTCGTCTCCCTGGCGGTCGGGTAGAGTTCCTTGAAAAAGGGGAGGGAGGTCGCGTCGACCTTGATCTGGCCGTGGGCGTTCCACTGCGCCACTGCGTCGTAGAGGAACTCGGCGGCGCCGAGGGTGATGAGGTACCTGGCTAGTTAGCTTGAACGTCTTGACACCTTGAAAGCACAACTCACCAAGGGTTGCCGTTGTAGTACGTGTCCTCGATGTACCGACCGAGAGCAACACCTTGACCCTGCGCGATGCCCTCGTTGACGGGGTACAGCGTGCCGTTGCGGAAGGAGTCGACCCAGACCTTGAAGTTGCTCAGAGCCTTGCTGTGGCACGGCTGGATGGACGGGTCCTCGCAGCTCGCGGCCACGTCAAAGACGGCAATCGAGCCAAGCATGACGTTGGCGTCCTTGCCGGAGCGCTTCGTCTGCGTGTTGACATTGGCGACGTAGTAGCCGTCCGCGGCGTTCCAGTACGTCTGGAGAAAGCAGAGGACGTCCGGGGCCAACTCACATCCCGTGCACTTGACGGAGAGCGACTCGGCCAGCGCAGCTCCCTCGACGAGGGCGCGGTACTGGTTCTGGGTGGTGAAGAAGCTGGAGCCGTTGACCTCCTCCCACAGGTCGAAGCCAGTCGAGTTCCTATCATTGTGAGCTGCCTGCAAAGCCATGAGAAATTAGTCTGCTTACCAGTACTGAGCGGTGTACGACAGATCGTTGGAGATGATGGGCCAAACAATATCCTTGGCCTTGGCCTCTTGCCCGTTGTCGATGAGCCAGCGGGAGTAGGTGATGAGCGTGATGGCCCTCAACGCCGGGCCGTCTCTCTGCGGGCGACCCCATTCGCCGTTGAAGCGCGAGCCATCGACGAGATACTTTGCCTCGCCGAGGCCACGACCGGAGGGAAGAAATGATCCGGAAGGGTTGCCGACGGTCTGCAGAACGGCCTGGGACTTGTAGTAGTCCTCAATATGAACCTGGAGCTCGTCGTGTCCGAGGATGAACTCGTCGACAATCATCTTCATGGTCAGGGCGGCATCGCGAGTCCACGTGAAAAAGTCTGGCCAAGTCAGCAAGAGAACAACACGTTTTCGTGAACACACTTACAGTCGGGATCGGCCTTGGAAGGGCTGGCAACGACGATGCCGGCACTTGCGCCTGCAACCGAAGCGCCATCAGGTCCTATGTTGCTCAGAACACCATTGAGCGCAATGGTTCTTTGACTTGAAATGAAGTCGTCGAGATCGGCGGCGGCAACGTGTGCAACGTTGGCAGCGAGGCCAACGGCACAGAATAGTGTCTTTGTTAGACTCATGGTGGTCGTGCCTTTACTTCCTCAGTCGTTGAAGTGTTCGGTGAAGGTGCCGGACTAGAGCATTTCGGGTCGACGATGGGATGGGAAACTCTTATATCCCAAACATAGCCCCCGAGACATAGTCGTATAGCAAAGTGCGGGCCTAGCTGGGCAGTCGGCACAGAACAACAATAGTAGCTCTCGAAGTTTATTACTGGCATCATCGTGCTGCAGACCCCTGCGTGTTCATCCCAAATCGAACGCGGGCAGGGATGGCGTCTCTTGGGTAGCATTGGGGATAGGGGATCGTCGTGGATCCGTAATTTCGTTCTAGAAGTCTAATGCCCTGAGTTGCTTTGGCAGAGTTTCTCATACAAGTGCGAGCAAAAGTCAATTCGGTTCCTTCGACGGGAGTAACTAGTCAGCTTTCGGACGTTCTTACTGCCTTACTACGTATTGCTGTGAAGTGGGTTATATTTTTTATCAAGTATGAAGTACGAAGAGAAGAACAACGTTGCGAGCCGATTATCGTGCAGCACGCGGACTGTCGGGCTCGCTTAGACTGGTCGACCATGGGGAAATAAGTCCGCTCCCCAGGCCTAGCTGCGTTGGGAAGCCACAGGATGGCAATAGTGCGGGGAGCTACCAACCTCAACCTCCTCCTCTAACCATTGGTGTCTCTGTATCCGTAACTTGATCACATTCGCAACCTCATCACCAGACTTTTCGAGACGGCTTCCAGGTGACCTGTTTGACTGAACACATTGTGTGCGTGAATGATGGAGGACCACACGGGAATATCTCAGCCCTCCTGAACTCACCCTGCATGACTCGGATGGCCGGAGTTCGCGGACACTCGCTTTCGGGATTTCCCTTCACAGACGATCAACGCCCTCCGATCACTAGGGCGTCTTCATCTCTCCCGTGCGTCTTCATCTCTCCCGTGCGTCTTGGCCTGGTTAACTCGGCCATATCCGCACACGCAATTCAACGAAAAAAGTGTGTATTGTCAATCTGCCTCTGCCATATATGCCAATCTATAAGCCAATTAGTTGGCTCACCACTGTACGCAGAGTTTCCGTTCCCTGCAACCCCTTCGACCCTCGACGGTCGACGCGCCTCTAAGTCCGAGTCTTGAGCTGACTAGCCGAGCTTCTGAACTCTCACCCAGAGGTCGGACTGGATGAATATGCCGGCCGAGAATGAGCTCCACGACTTGGCGGGGTCAATCAGGGCAAAGTCAAAACGGCGAAGAAGCTATACGCGGCATTAGACTCTTACTTTGACAATTAGGAAGGTCCCGCCGTAACTTACCTCCACAAAGACCTTGTTCAACTCCATGAGAGCAACCGTCTTGCCGAGACACTGCCACTTTCCGTACTTGAAGACGAGTTCCCACTGCGCCGTCATTGCCTTCAGCTCGTCCTCGCCGGCTTCGAGCCACCGTTCAGGCCGAAACACGTCGGCGTCCGGGCCGTACACTGCCTTGGAGCGTAGCACGCCAAACGCTGTCCAGCCAATGTCGGTGCCTTCGGGGATGCTCATGCCGTGCATGAAGTCGCCGCCCGCGGGCACCGTCGTCGACATGAGACCGGTGACGGGAGGGAACACCCGCAAACCTTCTTTGATGACCGCCTGTAGGTACTGAAGGCCGCCCGCCTCGCGGCTGGTCACGGGAGATGAGATTGTGCCCACGTTGGCCGCCTCCCGCACCTCCTTGGCGAGCTTGGAGTAGCATGAGGGGGACGTCATCAGATAGAGCATGGTCGTTCGAATGGCGGTCGCCGTGGTGTCGGACCCGGCCATGATCTGGACCAATGTCTCGCCTTCGGCCTCCTCTCGAGTTAGTCCGTGTGCGAGGAACGATCCAAGCATGTCTCGCCGCTTGGCCGTCTTGTCCGACATGAGCCTCTCTGCCACGACCTTTTTAGCAACACTAGTAATGTTAGTTGCTTACAGCCAGAAAGAAAAGGGCTACCCACGCGATGAACTTGCCGAACCCCACGCGGTCATGCTCCGAGGGCATGGCTTGGCGGAATAGGGGCGACTGCAGCAGCTTGGCCAGGTGCGGGAATACCGAGAGCGTCATCATGACGGGCATGCTCTGCTCAGTCATCTTGATGTACTGATGAACGTCGGCATCTTGCTCGACGTACCCGAAGTGGTAGCCAAATGCAAGGGAGGTGATGATATCCAGCGTGAGGTATTGAACCTTTTGGCAAAGGTCCATCGGGCGAAAGGCACCAGTGGTCGACACGTATCGCTCCTCGATGAGTCTGATAAAGGCCTGTATCTGACTGTCGATGGTGGTTTCGAAACCTTCATTCTCCTTACCCGAATACTGGGATCAGTGTGAGTATGGAAAGACACAGACATGAGTGCAGACTTACGCCAATGGCCATCTTGGCGCGCAGCTCGTTGTGCTCGTGGTCATCTCTCATGGAGATGAGGTTGTCCCTCGTGGGGTCGAAGCGAACGGCCTCGTAGAAGGCGCCCTTGCGGTATGGCGAGCGAACCGCCCACATGCGGCGAAGGATTTCCGAGTCATTGGTTACCAAGTCGTTGGGTCCGATGCGGACGACCGGGCCTAAAGCAAAGTTCCCTGTCAGCAGCCTGTCGAAACAAACAGGCCGTTTGTCCTTGATGTTGCCTGGCTGGGCGGCATGTGTGTCTGAGACCCTTTTTGGCCCCCGGAACAAATCACCCAGCTAGGCGAGCTGGTGGTGTTTCTGGGATGAGAGTTTTGAACTCACCATAGTCATCACAGGCTCGCTTGAGAGCGAGATGCATCTGCCCACCTAGTGTGTTACGTAGCATCCACCACTTGCTCAAGGCGGCACCTGGTGGTCCGGGGATGTGTCTGAGACGGTTCCATGAACGGTAGCTCAAGGACCCCAGATATATGAAAAGGGCCGTAAAGAACAGCAGAAGCGGGTTCCAGATGTGGCCCGAGAGCTCCTCGATGGTCGCCATAATGTCTCGGATTGTTGAAAGTGACGGGACAGTTTCGAGGGTTGAGTCGGATAAGGAAGTGAGTGAGTTTGTAAGATGAGAAAAGTGAGAGAATGATGATGAGAGTGAGTCTGAGGAGTAAACTTGAAGAGGGAAGGAAAGTTTGGCCGGGCAGTTGACACTCGGCAACCTCTACGGAGGGCAACAGCGTAGAAGTATGCGTAGACGGCAGGCAGCGGGCGATGAGAGCACCTTCTTCCTTTGTCTGATTCAGTTTACACCACCCACAGATCACAGGGAAAGAGCTTTCCGCAGCAATGGGATGGAAAGAGCAAGCAGAACGCAGCAAGCAGCAAGCAGCTCGGAAAGGGAAGCTGTGAATTTGGCAGCCGGGGTGAAGAAAGACACCGCACCTCCGTCTATTCTCTCACTTCATCACCCATTGAATATGGAGAGGGCGGCTAATGTAAGGTATCCCAAGCACCTCCTTCGGGCAAGATGGATCATGGCTTCTCTCATTCACCAATATCACCACGTCTCGTGGCCCAACCCTCCGCCCTAGTCTCTTCACCTCTTTTCCCACCCGCTCCGTCCGTCGAGCATCCTACTCTTCTTCAATCATTCTAGCAAAGAAATAGAAATGTGAGCCGTCATATGCAGCGTCCCGTTCCACCCGCATGACATCGGGTTCCAGCCAGAGGCTACTATATGACAGGCATCTCGGTGAAGCAGACAGATGGTATCTCGACAACCTCGCCCAAGCACGCGAAAAAGGCTATTCACCATAACTCTACGTCTTCAACCCGACTCGTCTATATGGATTGACATCAAACTGTGATAAGTACTATGCCACCCAAGACTATGGTAGATGAGCAGCAATACTTAAGCTAAACTCCATCCTGCAGCTCTTGTCCGACAACCATGTATACGGGTGGTCACATTCGATGTGAGATTCCCCATGAGCCGTTATTCTGTTTGCTACCCGTGGTGCCCCTCCCGAGCCGGATTGCAGCCACTCTAGTTTGGTTACACCGATGCTCAAAGACAGCAGTCAGTCCCGGGACCACCCTCGTCGTCGTGGTGATTGACTTTTCTTCTATTCCCCTGGTTCTCCACGACGCACATCACCAGCATCAAGCTAGCAACTTGGACAGTTGACGGCGGCAACAAACCCGGCCGTATTTGCCTGCCCACCCGATGTTCTGCATGATTGTATGCAGGCATCCGGCTCTCGACGAGACGGCCGATGACACGATGCCACGCTTCCCGGCTTTCAAAACGCCGCAACGTCGGCCACAACCACATCTGCTTCCTCCTGTAGAAGGTATCGTGTCCTGACTGGGCACTGAAAGCTCGCTCGGTGGACACTCCAAGCCGACAAACTCCGGCTATGGCTGACGCGTGCATACGGTTTGTGTAAGGCACCGTTCACGCCAACACACACAGTGTTGTTACTGCCGCTACTGTATGTTTGTGCCTGTGATGACCAAAGCCACCTGCGGATAGCGCCAAGCACCTGAAAAGGTGTTGGGATCAAGCTTTGCTGTTGGAACAAACTGCAGCAGCAGCTTGCTCTCCGGTCTGGCGAGGCTCTCGAGAGGGGGTTGAACTAACCTCACGCATCGTCTACTGCTGACCGTGATGCGCTGCGTGCTTCGTTAGGCCAACTAGGACTTGTTGACAGCACGCCGCCTTTGGTGACACGGAGCCGAAGGCTCGAATGACAAGCAAGCTGCTTCTTTGTGTCGCCTCGTCACAATTACCCCATCCGAACGATTCCCCTCGCCAGCACGGGTGTCGTCCGTTACCCTTTTCAACGGGCGTTTGGCAGCGGCAAGGGAATATCAAGCTGATACGCCTTGACAGTCTTCCGTCTCTGATGGGATGATTCCTGTTTCTGGAGTTTTCCCTTTGTTTACTGGAACTGCGACACAGATCTCGACAACAAACCATCGACATGACCGAAAGAGTGCCTGATGCGATGCATCAGATAGACATTGTTTTCCCGCACGGGACAAACGTTGATCTGGAACCAGATGAGGTCAGCACTCGGGAAAGGGGTCTGTGAGTTGGAATCTTGAGGACATCTTACTAAGGTCTATCCTAGGACATTGAAGATGCCGAGGTGCAAAGCCTTGGAGGGAGTGATGTAGACTCAGCACTGGGAGAAGTAGGTAATTTGGGGCGCGTACAGACAAAAACAACGCTTAAACAGACGGCAGTCCGAGGCATGGCCATCCTCAACAGCATCACTCCGATCAAGCATTGTACGGGCACGTGAGGAGAACGGAAGAATCTATCACGGATACAAGGACGGGAAATATGTCTTGCCCACTGATCAGGTATGTATGTACATTTCAGATGAGCCGCATCTAACGTGTTCACATGTCTAGGAAGAACTCGATCGACAAGGTACGCCCCTGCTCCGACATGGCTTGACAGACCTCTAACTATTCGCAGCTTTTCAATATCAGCTCTGCCAGTTGACCTTTGAAAACAGGCTCAACTTTGCCCCGGTCCACCATCCCCACAGAGTCCTAGATGTCGGCTGCGGCATAGGGCTGTGGGCCATAGACTTTGGCGAGTAAACTCTCTTCAATATGACACATCTACTGACTCTATTCAGGCGAGGCACACCCAGAAGCCGAAGTTGTCGGCGTAGATCTCTCGCCCGTCCAGCCTGGCTTGTGAGTGTGGCAGAATAACAAAGACTGATCAGATCTGACCGCTCCAGCACACCGCCAAACGTGCATTACGAAATCGACGACCTCGAGGAGGAGTGGAGCTTCTCTAGAAAGTTTGACTATGTTCACTGTATGATGATGACGGGCGCTTTTAGGGATTGGCAAAACTTCCACCAACAAGCCTTTGAGTAGGTCATCTCCCCTTGTAGGCGCCCATCAGCTAACGTGGTCTCGAGCAACCTAAACCCCGGGGGTTGGTTTGAGATCCAGGATATCGACTTCCCCATGAGGTGTGACGATGAAACAATTCCGCCAGACTGCGACCTCGGCAGATGGAACGAGCTGATGATGGAGGCCGGCCAAAGGTCGGGCTTCCTCCTGGATACCTGCGGCAGGGCGGCCGAGATGATGGCGAGCGTTGGATTCGTCGATATTGTGCGGATCCAGTTCAAGTGGCCAATCAACCAGTGGCCGCGCGACGTCAAGCACAAGACCCTGGGCGTCTGGACAGAAGCCAACTTCAGTGTCGGGCTCGAGTCCATGACGTTGGCCCTCTTCACCCGCTTCATGGGTTGGAGGAAAGAGGAGGTCTGGGACTTTAGCGCCAATGTCATTGCAGAGTGGCGTGATGTACGTAGGCATGGGTATTTTGACGTGTATGTAACTTATGGAAGAAAACCGTAAACGACCCGGGGGGCAAACACGTAAATGGATCTGGGGCCGGAGTGTTTCTCGCTTGAATGAAAGATGGGCGTTGGCCACGTTGCAACGTTGTTTGCCGTCGACTGGCGCCAAGCCAGCCTTGCGAACGATTGCGGACGAATTGCTTGCTCTCTCTGTCGACTGCCGACTGACGATGAGCATTCCTGTCGCCAGGCGAGTGGTGGCTTGACCAGGAAGCGTGCCGACACGAATGCTGTCAGACGTGCGCGTGCCCGCACTCCCAGCAAGTCGAATCACGCCGTACAATTCATGCCGTGTCACCAACGTCAACCAATCAGCCAAAGGGCACTGACGGGCGTACCGAAACGCCACAGCCTCGCCGTCGCCTGTCGCGGCTGCATGACCTGCGCGGGCGGGCCGGGTGATATTGTCTGTCTGGCTGGCTGGCTGGCTACCATCAAACACATCTCATCCAAGAGTGCAAAGACCGCAGCGTCCTGCCTCAGGTGGGCGGCTTCTGAGCCCAGACGGAGATCCACGGGAGATATCCATGTATGCGTGTGTCGTGGAACGCTTTCCGGATGTCCTGTTCCATGGTATCGGCTTCCTGCTTGGTTAGCCCGAGCTGCGCCCACTTGACGAGCACGGCGCGGACGAGCTGCCACAGCACGTCCTTGCTGAGGAACAGGCCGATCTCGCGCTGTTGGCGGTCCTTGGCCCAGGGCCCGATGGGCAGCTTGAAGAAGCGGTAGCGGATGTTGACGAAGCCGGCCTCGCGCAGGATGTCGGGCAGGACGTTGGGGAACTCGAGGTCCCAGCCGTAGTGCGTCTTGAAGGTGCTGATGAACCTGTCCATGAATTTGGCGGGCGCGTAGTCTGGGGGTAGGGTGTTGTCGTCGCACCCGATTCTGACGCCGGCGTCTTGGAACTCGATCCAGCCGCCTGGTTTGAGGTTTCTACGGTTGTCAGAGACTTATTTCAGAAACTTGATATAGCGGGCAGAGACAAGGGGTCTTACTGGTACGCCGAGTGGATGACCTTGACTGGCTGTCGAAGCGTCACACAGACGGAGCGCATGTGGACAAAGTCCAAGTTGGCGTACAGCGGCGACCAGGTCTCTTCAATGTCGTCGATTCTCCAGTCAACGTTCTGCGGCGCGTAACAGTTTTGAATAGGCGATATGTCGACGCCGATGACGTGTGCGCTAGGGAATTTGTCCGCGACTTTTGGTGAGTCAGATTTATAGAGTCCCAACCGGCGTGAACAACGATGGCTTACTGTCAACGGCCCAGAGACCGGTGCCGGTGCCGATATCCATGATCTTTTGCGGGTGGTCACCAATTGGTGCCAGGTAGTCGTTCTCATCAAGGAGGCGTTTTACGAGCTGGTGCTTCATCTCTTCGCGGAACTGCTCCGTCTCATCATTCGGAAGAGGGTAGATGCCTTGCAGGAAGGATTGATAGCGTCTGACGGTACGTGAACTTAGTTTCCGCGTTTCTCTTCCCAGGGGATGAACCATGAAGACATGATCTACGCACCTTCCACCCTCGTGTGAGTGCTTCATCACACGGGAAGCGAGCGAGGTGAAGCCCGAAGAGGCGAGGGATTCTCCATAGTCTGACCCTCCGTAGTCTGACCCCCCAAAGCCTTCGTCCTCGTCCAACATGTTTGGTGGAGCAGGCTCTATGGGCTCGCTGCTGGACATGTTCATGATGGCGGGTTTGTAGACGGTTTTCGAGGGCCGTCAGACTAGGGGTGTGATTATGGCAACACCGCTCGCGTGAGACGGTTCACCGCGTCTGAGGTGGCCCTTTGGTGGTGAGATAGGGTAAGTGTGATTTCTAAAGTATCGGTGAGTATCCGGTATGAGCCAACAACACCACAGTCTGATGAAGCCTGCTGGATTATGTGGTGGCGCATTTCTGGGCGAAGCTACCGAATTAACGTACAATGGTCGAGCAAGACAAGCCTGAGAACGGTCACAGCATTGTCAGTCTTGCAGATGACTCGTTCGGCAAGCCCAGCTGGCTGCACGCACCAGAGGAGCAACTCGTACGTGGGAATCAGAGAAGAAAGTAATGGGCGGGCGGAAAAGGGTTGGGAGAAAACCAGAGTTGAGGAACTTGAGAGACGAACAGTACCTGGTACTAGGAATCGGAATTCGTACCAACTAGATGGTAAGCCAATCACCAAGCAACAGCTCCCCCTTCTCTGCAGCTGTTGGTGTACCAAATGTGCCCAGAAGGGTGGCACAGCGGTTGAACCGGTGCCAACAGGCTGGAGCGGTGTGAATGTCCGTCTGGTTCCAAGGACACGGCGAGCTTGAAACAGCGCCGCATGCGGTGCCGGCAGCGGTGCGGAGGTACAGGATAGAAGGCCGTTGGAGACTGGGCCGATCCAACGGCGAGCTTATAGGAAGACGTTTGTGTGGGCAGGCAAGGGCGTGCGTGAGGCAAGGTAGCGGCTATGTATGATGTTGAGCGATGTCTATACCATCATCGGCCGGGCGGCGTCATTAAGGGCCCGGGAGCGATGAGTTCTGTGGAAGCGATTCTCTCAAGTCCACTGTGATGGGCAAGTAGCAGCAGAAGCAGGGGATCGAAGCTTTGCCGTTTCGAGGAGGTCGCGCATAAGCAGCCTGCAGAGTGTGTTTCGGTCTCTCAGAGATGGCGGTCACCACATACACAGACAGTAGTGCACAGCGCGCGTCGGTGCGAGCAGTGAAGTGATGCGGGGTGTTAATGTGGGATGTGGCGTGTATTCGGACAGTGACGAGCTGGGATTATCTACTGATGAACATCTCAAGCAGACAAAGCGGTTCCCATGGGTAGGATACCGATAGCCCGCGATGCTAACGTCTAGCACTGGAGGGCGCCATTGAAAGCTACTTCGGACGACAACTCCGTTACCCCCGTGGTCCAATTCGTAGACGGCCAGCCAACATGGATAGGTACCTATGTAATGCGGAGTACCTGTCTGTAGTGAGGTACTTTGAAGAGCAATGAGAGGGACGCTGATCAACCAATGTCGGCTGGAAAATAGGTAGACTAGCCGACCAAGTGGAGAAGGTATGGGGCGCACCGTTGGACTCGTGTTTGCTCGCTTTGTTGGAGACCTTGGTAGAAAAGCCAAAGACAACAAGGCATGAAGCTTGTAGATTTGAGAAACGAGAGACACTTTCAGATGATACCTGATAAGGTAGGTAAGGTACCTAAGGTAGAGGTGGAAATAGGAGTGAGAACCTTCATGTCCTCATCGGCGTTAGGACGGACGACTGAAAGTGGAGCGGGGTTGTCCCGGCGTCCCGCAATCGGTTGATCCGTGCACTCGGCCGACTGCACGGTCCACTTCTTCCCGTGGATTTAACAGGTTCCCAGATCAGCACGTCGCAAACAGCTGGTAGCGTACCTAAACGCGTCGCTAAAGTCTGGCAGACCGCGTCCAGCGCGTCACTCTCACTTTTGCACTCAATCACTCGATTCTGACTCGGGCCTGGGCCACCACCACCACCACCACCACACCAAATAATACCTTTACCACTTTACCCTACCTTATCTCACCTTACGCTCCCATGAGGCAGAATACTTACTGTTTGTTACCCACCGTCGATTCTTCTGCACTTTGATATACCCCACGCTAGAGAGCCGTCCTTTTCAGCCTCTGAGCCTCAAACCTACGCATCTCACGGCTTGCAGTCTTTCATCTTTTCGCTTGCTCTCGACTACTCTTCGCGACAGTCCGCCCGCCGTCGGCCCCATTGCACCCGCCGTAGAGCCCCCTCCCAACCACGTCCACACAAGAGAGACAACAACCATTTTGCAACCCATGAAGTCGCTCGATACACACCGTGGAAACGCGTCAAAATCCTCTTAGCCATGTATCTTCCACGGTCTCTGATATCCAAACTATACACCCACCTCCAGAACACGCGACACCCGCTGTCCCCTCCCGTACTCGTTCTCGTCGCCCTCGAACCCGATTCCCTATGCGCATGTCGGATCCTGACTCGCCTGTTGAAGCACGACTATATCCCCCACAAGATCCAGCCCGTCTCCGGATATGCCGACCTCGAACGCGCCGGCCGGGACTTGGTCCAACCCATGATGGAACCGCAAGGAGGGAGTGGAGGCGTTGTTGTGTGCCTCGGTCTCGGCGGCATGGTTGATCTTGGAAGCCTGCTGGGACTGGAACCCGAGGGAGAGGAGGTGACCTTTGGCGGCGTCGAGGTCTGGGTCATGGACTCGCACCGTCCGTGGAACTTGGGCAACGTATTTGGTGGCTTCCCACTGGAACCGGCCGTCGAGGAAGGTGCCTCGCTCCAGTCCAGGTGTCCGCCAGGCGTGATGGCTGGTCGGATTGATCGCGCCTACAAGCCAGGCAAGGGGGGCATCGTTGTGTTTGACGATGGCGACATTGAGGATGACCTTGCCGCGGAAAAGGAAGCCTATCTGGCATTGCTTGATATGCCCGAAATCGATGACGACGGCGAGGACCTGGACGACTTGGACGACGATGACGATGATGCCGAGGACGAGGATCTTTTTGAAGAGCCAGCACACGCTGGCCAGAAGCGGAAAAGCTGGTCGGACCGAGACGAGGAGGACGAGTCCAGTGACACAGACGATAGGCCGCACCAGCGGAGGAGAAGCAATTCTGTAAGTTGTAACGCGTCATTCTGTTTCCATGCCCACTAACACGTAGCAGTCTTCCTCGATCCCCTCATCTCCACGACGGCCAGTTCACAGAGGGCTCGTATCTCTACGAGACGCAGGCATGGTTCTCTCGAGCGATCCCCTGGAACCTCCATCAGCTGCTCAACCACCGCCCGCGCCATCTGCCAGGGTCCTGCGGCGACGTCTTTTGCGCCTGCGGAGAGAAAAGGAGACCGTTCTCCGCAAATACTACAAGATCGGTGCTTCCTTCTCCGAGCCGATATCCTCCATGATGTACTCTCTCGCGTCGGAGCTCGGCCGGGACGACAACGACCTCTTGTGGCTCGCCATCGTTGGTGTCACGTCTATGGAGCTGTACGGAAGGTCATCTGCAGGTATCGCGGTGCCCGTCCGCAACTCGGACCGGGGACAAGGAAACGGGTGGATGGGTGTCCGCGGCGCACGTATCCGCCAGCTGCTGAGAGACGAGGTTCGACGCCTGAATCCGCCCGAAGTCGTCCGCGGCCGTCCGTCTGCTGCTGAGAACTCTGGCATCATCCCCACAACGGCCCGCAGCCCTGAAGACACAAGCATCAGGCTGTCGCCAGAGCCCAAGTTTCTCCTCATCAGACACTGGAGTCTGTACGACAGCATGCTGCACTCGCCGTACCTCTTTGCCCGGCTCAAGACGTGGAGCGACACGGGTCTGAAGAGGCTCCACAAGCTCCTGGCCAAGATGGGCGTCAGTCTGGTTCAGTGCAAGCAGAGCTACACGCACATGGACATGATGTTGAAGAGAGAGCTCCGGACAAAGCTGCTCAAATATGCTTCTCTTTACAACTTGGACGACATGGTCCCTTCAGTCGACACGGACGGGAGAGACCGCGCTGGCGCAAAGGACGGCTGGGGCTTTGTCCGCAGCTGGGGCTGGCGGGCGACTCTGAGCGCACAAGACGTGGGCGTCGTTATTGGTGCTCTGTTGGAGGTGGGCAAGCACAACGACGTCGCCGAGCTCACGCAAGCACCGAAAGACCAGTTTGAGGATGTGGACGACGAGGAGGTTGTTGCTGCGCAAGGAGAGGAGTGGGTTGCGCGTTTCTGGGAAGCATACGACGCTTTGGAAGAGTAAGTGATTCGCGCACTTTACATGAGCACGTACTAACATCGTGAAGCATCGATGCTCTCAAAGCAGGACTGCCAACTGCCCAGTTTCTCCACCGCGCAATCTACCGCACCGGCACATCACTCATCAACAAGAAACAAATCAAGCACCTCAGAGCGTTCCGCATGTGCGTGGTCAAGGAAGGCCCCGACGTGCCCGTCTTTGGCCACCCGGCCGCGCTCACCAAGCTCGCTCTCTGGGTTGGCGAGGCCCTCATCGAGCAGGAAAAGGATACCACGGGTCGTCTCTCCCACGGTGGACGCGGCACGCCCCTCGTCGTCGCCAGCCTCAACGACAAGCGCGGCGTTTACCTCGTTGTCGGCACCGGCGGCGGCGGCGGCCCGGATACCACTTTCCTCGATCGCGAGGCTGCCAAGAAGCGGCAGGCGGCCAAGGGCGAGAAGGCCAACCAGCGGGAAGAGTCACGGCGTAACAAGCAAAAGATCCGCGAGGAGAAGCGCGCGGCGCGTCGGGCGGCGGGAGATGACGATGCAGACTTTGACGAGCTCGATACCGAGTCGGAGGCGTCTGACGGCTCGGACTCGGAGGACGAGGAAGAGGAGGAGGACGCCAAGGAGAAGGGCTACGGCCTCAACCGCTTCGGATCGGCGTTCCAGGAGGTGGTGGCGGAGACCAATGCCCGGGTACGGATAGACAGCTTCGAGCACTGCGTAGTGGAGGTCAAGAAGGAGGATCTGGGAGGGTTCCTGGAGAGTCTGAGCATGAAGGCCGTTGTCGGGTAATGTGTGGAACGCGAGAGGGATACAAAAAGCAATTGCCGGGTTGGGTTGGGTGTCGTGCTTGGGGTGTTTTACGCATGGCGGGGGGTTCATTCTGTTTCTTATCATACGGCGATGATGGAGGGCACGGCATCGAACGGAACTGGTTTGGGAGGATAAACAAGCTTCATGAGACATGGGCATTTGAATCATTTCCTTGCGCTTTAATCACCAATTCCTCTCGCTTTGTGGCACTTAGGGATTTGGGCGGGAAGCAAGCATACTTTGTTTTCGGCCGCGGCGTTTATATGGGCAGACCCTTTACGGACCACCACATCTTCGCTTTTTGGAGCGTGACGCATATATACTTACACACACACTATTGAACGCGTTGTCCTTTTGCTCGATGCCAATCAGGATGAAAGCAGTGATGGGGGTCTGGGGGTCCTCGTTCCTTGGAGTTACCTCCATCAAGGCATCAGGATTAAGATGAGCCAACCAGACGGGACGACGTGATAATGAAGGTGCGCTGATAGGGCAGAAGAGCGAGCTGAGGTGTAAGCACTGGGGTCAAAGCCTCTTCTTTGGATTGACAAGACGACGTGTTGCCGCGTTGGGTGCTCTCGTCAGCACTCTGAATCCTTCATCTCACCTTTTTTGCGAGAGAGTTCTACGCCAGAGGATTACTTGGCTGGCGCTACGTGTAAGCGCTTCCGCCGTGGATCTGGATAGCAAGAGCGGTGTTGTGCGGAGATGAGGGCGCTCAGTATTGATATAAAATGAGGTTTTCAACGTCGATTCTCATCTGGGTGGCGCTCATCTGTCTCGCAAGCTCACATTCGATATCAAACCATGTCTAGCAAGAAGCCTTGGGCCGATAGGCCGTTTGAGCTCATTAGTAGCACCCGTGCGGGAACCAAGGTAAGTCCCTTTGCAGCCATTGAGACTCGACGAAGACTAACCATCTGCACACAGAAAGGGGTCAAGACGGCAGGTGTGAACCGCATGGCTGAGGAAATGACCATCATTCACAATCTCATCCTCCGGATCATCAACACTGTCTACCTGCAGTGCATCAACGTGGAGAAGTCCCCCAACGACGTCCAGGACTTTGTGTCATACGCGATAGAATGGAGCAAGATGGTGGAGGAGCACCACGAGACGGAAGAGACGGAGGTGTTCCCCGAGATTGAACAGCTGGCCGGCGTGCCGGGGCTGATGCGGGCCAACGTCGCGCAGCACGAAGCTTTCCACGACGGCCTGCACGCGTACATGGGCTACTTGGACAAGGTCCAAAAGGGCGAAGAGGCGTACAGCGGAGGGAAGCTCAAAAGCATCATCGACTCGTTCATGCCCGTCCTGCGGGAGCATCTCAGCGATGAGATTGACTCGCTGCTCAAGCTGAATGAGTACGACCGCAATTGGGATGAGTGGTATGAGAAGCTCATGAAGAAGCTGCTCGGCAGAATGGGTGATCCCAAGCTCAAGGTGAGTACGCTACTTCATCATCTCTAGAAACTTTGAAACGCCTGACGTATTCTGGAAAAGACGACAACGATTCCACTTCTTTTGACAAACCGAGACACGACGTTCGAGGAAGGTGTTCATGCGTGGTGGCCTCCGGTACCGTGGATCGCGTTCCTGATGATGCGTTGGCTCTACATTCCTGCCCACAAGAATTGGTGGGGGTTTTCTTCGTGCGACGACCGGGGCGCGCCAAGGGAGCTTCCTTTTGCGTGATGGGCTCCGAAGTGGACGAAGTATTGGGTCCCGGCAGTCGGTGGAGTTTTTCGGTGGTTGAGTGGCCGAGCCTCGATGATCGGACGAGGAGGGCCCCCCTGGTGTTTCCAGAGTGAGGCTGAATCTTCAGAGTTTGCTCAAGTCTGGAGATGCGTGGCAGTCTAGTCGACAAAGTGTGGCTGAGGGTCTCAAAGCGAGGTTAGTTGGAGGCCGTCTTGAAGGTGTGGTTGACACTCAGATCGTGATGTGGGCAAAGGCTATGAGGGAGCCCTCAGAGACTTGGAGAGAGCGATGAGTGTGAGATGTGTACTAGTACTTAGACGCCGGTCCAGGTCGTCAGGTAGGCACGTAGGAAGGTGCCTTCTAATCCCAAGGATTGACACTTGGTAACGTCATGCGGGCACATATCCCAGTCGACATCCACACCATGTACGAATGACCCGAGGCGAAGGAGACTGTGAGCCCTGTGGCAATCGTGGCATTCCGCCGATTGGGGTTCTGGCTTGGGGGCTGAGTTCATGAGCCGACGTCTTAGTGGGCGAAGCGCCAAGCCCCTGCTTCTCAAGGTCGACGTCGACGACCACTCATCGTCCGAGGGCTGTTTGTAGGGGATACATGGTACCTGGCCACGCAACATACTATTCAACGCTTCGCGGCGTATTCCACGTTGGTGTCGGGTGTTTCTTCATGTTTCTGACACCCTGAATGAACCGTGCTCCAAGGCACTTGGACACTGAGATTGACCTCGGCAAATCAAGCCAAGTCTCGGATTCATAGAACAACCTTCATTTAAAATGTTGCTCACCAAGATACGGGCTCATCTCATTCAGAGAGGTCTGAATTCGAGGACGAATGGCATAGTTGAGGGACTCAACGACGCAAAGTCAATTATCCCAGTCCTTCGTCACCTTACAGATGTGGCAGGTGGCGGGTGTTAATGAAGCACTACCTTACGCTACAGGCATCCCGGTCATTTCTCTACCAAAAGTATTGGATTCGCTGCGACATTACTGGATAGCGCACCTACGTAGAGCTCCTGTCAGTTGTAACCGCTCTGCCACTGGGCGGATGCAATGTCCGTCACTGTCATTCCTTGCCTTTGGACCTAAGTACTGCCAATTACTTGTCTGCGGTGTGCTCACACATGGCACAATGTCTGGATGCTTTGCAGACGGTCGCGTTGATCATTGCTGCGTCTCCTTCCGAGTCCTTCGCCTCCGCCGCTGTTACCTGCCGTGCCGTGCCTGCTACGTGTGCCTGGACCTGTGTGCGTGGCGCCTGCTCATAGCTTCAAACATTTGCTTACCTTATCTTCCGGGCCAGATTCGCACCTGGCTACGACAGGTTCCACCCACGACTTTTTCCTTCCTCTGTACTCCGTACACCTCCCGCGTATTCTTCATCCAAGTCTACAACCTGACGTACCAAGCATCTTCCTCTTCGTTGTTTATCATCTTATGGTTTCAAGTAACAAAGATTCGCAACCTCATCTCCCTACAACTGGCAAACCACAAGCCGCACGTAAAGGTATCCATAACCCTGCCGATCCAGCCCGACAACTAGGTCAATAGTAGATACTCTGTCCCCGTTTATTCACGTCTTGGCCACCTCGTACTCTGTGGACGCTCGGTACCGTCGCCTTTACTTTCGTACAGGGAGCCGCCCATCCCCCCCGCCGCCAACTTTCCGAGCAATCATCGGGTCCTGTCCCCGCCAGCGTCAGAAGCAAGCACCTTGCACCAAAGTGCCTGGCCACCACCACCGACAGGCGACAGCATCCTGGGCCCTTTATTTCTTTCCCCTCCCCCGCCCTTGGAGCGCAACTCTGCCTCTGTCGCCAGCCTTGTTCCTCCTTTGAAGTCTTCGACCACGCGCCGCTCCCTTCCGCCGTCGCCTAAAATCCACGATCAGTTCGACTCAACGCTTTTCCTTTTCCTCGGCGACCAGTAGTGCCTTTTCGCCTGCGCCGGCATCGGCCCACTCGTTCCGAGCGACGACACTGTGTTCTTGCCGCCGACGCCGTCCCACGACTCATATCGCGACAAACGCAGGCCACCCACCACCACGCAATCCCGCTCTTCCGCCGACCCTGAGCCAAACCTGCCCCCCGGGATCTCGGTATCTGAAGTAGTCGTCGAGGCTCGTAGTTAGCCATGGGCAAATCGTAAGTCTGCCCGCCCCCCAAACGTGCCTTTCCTTGCGGTCCCATTGTGTGGCAGAAATGGACCGAGGGGATGTCATGTTGAGGCGATCCGCCTCTCCGGAAACATGGAACAACCGCGCTTTGATCGTCAGACTCGCAAGCTAACAATATTCCTCCTCTAGCCAGTCCAAGCTCTCCCAGGAGCAGCTAGCTGAACTGCAGAAGTCCACCCATTTCGACAAGAAGGAGTTGCAGCAATGGTACAAGGGTATGTCAGCATCGATCTATGCTTGATCGTCTGTTTCCGCGCGAGGCCTATCTTCCCAGTACCGAAATCAAACTGACAATCCGCGGCAGGCTTCCTCAAGGATTGTCCCTCGGGCATGCTCACCAAAGAAGAGTTCCAGAAGATATATAGGCAATTCTTCCCCTTCGGTGATCCAAGTTCATTTGCAGATTATGTCTTCAACGTCTTCGACAGCGACAAGTCGGGTAGTATCGACTTCAAGGAGTTTATCTGCGCCCTCAGTGTTACCAGCCGAGGCAAGATGGAGGACAAACTCGACTGGGCTTTCCAGCTGTACGACATTGATGGGGACGGAAAGATCAGCTACGATGAGATGCTCAAGATCGTCGAGGCAATCTACAAGATGGTGAGTCTCTTCTCAGTGGGCGTATGGTGCTTTTATTGCGTTCACGATCCACGGCACCCCGCCCTCCCAACAAAATGCTGACAAAGATGACGCGCAGGTCGGCTCCATGGTTAAGCTCCCTGAAGACGAAGACACCCCCGAGAAGCGCGTACGGAAAATCTTCCGCATGATGGACAAGGACGAGAACGGCAGCCTGGACATGGAAGAGTTCAAGGAGGGAAGCAAACGTGACGAGACGATTGTGTCGGCACTGTCTCTCTACGACGGCCTGGTGTAGTGTGGCGCGGAGCAGGTGGAGGCTCTCATACCACCGCCACACGCCCTCGGGTCTGTTTTCATGATTATATGTGTTTTTGGGCAAGGCGAGCTGCGCGCAGTGATCAAAGTGCGACTTTTATTATCCAGGGCTAGCAGGAATGGTATTCCAATGATTTACTGCGACCTAATTTTTTCACTCGCGTTTCCATCGTATTGTGGACGGCCAATGTCGGCCAGGTTGAGTGAGTCGTCGGATGGAAGGGAACAGCCTGCGGTCGGGTCATGATGACAATTAAGCAACCCCCGAAACTCCCGCCGGCACGGCATCCTCGGACCCAGAGACCGGGACCCCGACTCGGCCCGGCCGGGTTCAGGTGGATGACAACGCATCGGCACCACCCAGTCTCCGCCACGTCAATCCACTATGCAAACGAATCACACATGGGATGATGAAATCGAGCACCGCGTTATACCTGTAGACGAACACTTGGAATGAAACTGAGCTAGATTAAAAAAAAACACATCCTTGACCCGACCCATAAGACCCGCCAAGATACTGATGGATAAAGGTAGGTTTAATCGTTGTTACAAGGCTGGCCGCGCGCACACACACACACAACACTATACTCCTGGATATCAAGCGTCCCGTAGCCAACCCAATCCGTTGCCGCAAAATTAGGGGAGAATTACAAGATCAAACCACATGATCAAACGTGAAGGAAACGACCCGCCCTTAAGACGAACCGTAGGCCTTGTTCACCTCGGACTTGTACTTTTCGAGGATCTTTTTGCGCTGAAGTTTCTGTGCGGCCGTGACGAGGTCCTGGGAATGGTTAGCAGTTGCTTGGGAATATGAATCAAGGATGCTCACATTTTGTGGTGTCCACTCCTCGTCGGACATGACAACGCCCTCGATGATTTCAATGCCAGAAAGGCCACCTGAGCGGCCGGCATTCTGCAGCTCCTTGAGAACGGCGCTCTGCAGCTTCTTGTCGTGCACCAGCCCCTCGAGGTTGCTGCCCTGGACGCCAATGCTCTCCGCGAGCTTGATCAGAGCCGGCTCAGCAGGCACGATGATGGCAATGGGCTTGGCCTTGTTGGCGTCGGCGTAGATGCAAATGTTGGCAACCACAGCAGCAGCGCGGTAGATGGACTCGAGCTTCTCGAGCGCAATGTACTCGCCGTTGAGAGTCTTGACCAGGTTCTTCTTGCGGTCAATCAGCTTCAGGTGACCTTGGCTGTCAAACTCGCCAATGTCGCCAGTCTTGAACCAACCATCCTCGGTGATGGCCTCCTTGGTCTCCTTGGGGTTCTGGTAGTACTCCTCCAGAACGGAGGGTCCACGGATCCAAACCTCACCCTGAGGGTTGGGCTTGTTGGTGGCGTAGTAGCCGGCCTCGGCAAAGTCGACCAGCTTGATCTCAATAGACGCGGGCATCGCGCCCATGTTGTTGACGCTGAACTCCAACGGGTTCGTCAGGCAGCCCATGGCCGTGGTCTCTGTGAGACCGTAGCCGATAATCATTGGGGCGATGGCCATTGAAATGAACTGCTGGGTTTCCTTCGCAATGGGACCACCTCCGTTCATGCAAAGCTTGAGACGACCACCGGTGGCCTCCTTGAGCTTCTTGAAGACCACGGAATCGAGCACGCCGGTGCCGGGAACACCAAGGCTCATCATGTGCTGCTTGGCAGACAGGGCGTTCCAAAACAAAGTCTTGACGAGGGCGCTGCCGGCGTTGACCTTGGCGATAATGCCCTTCTTGACAGTCTCCCACACCGCGGGGACACCAACCATGACGGAGGGCTTGAACTCCCGAATGTCACCGGCGCAGTTGCGGACAGAGTTGTCGGACAGGGTCTTGGGGTTGCCGTAGCCCATGGTTGTGCCCCAGTAGATGCAGGCGTTCTCAAAGACGAACTCGAGGATGTGGGCGAGCGGGAGGTAGGTCAGGAGACCGTCGCCGGGGCCAATGAAGGGCTGAACAACGGCACTCACACCAGCAACTTTGCTTCGTTAGTGGAGGTCTGCTCACAGTTCCGGGGAAAGACATACCAGCGGCCACAACGGCCTTGTGCTTGAGGAGAACACCCTTGGGGGTTCCGGTTGAGCCAGATGTGTACATGATGCAGCACAGGTCCTCGGTGGCGGGAGGGACCGGGTCGACCATGTTCTCCTCGCCGAGCTTTCGCAACTCCTCGAAGCTCATGACCTGGATCTCGGGGTGGGCAGACTTGAGCTGCTCGAGGTGTGTCTGCTGGATCTGGTGCTGGTTGTTCCAGATAACGTAGCGAATGTCCTTTGCCTCCTGGAGAACGTTGCCCAGCGTAGGCAGCAGGTGGGGGTCGAGGAAGATGGCCTTGGCGGAGGTAGCCACCATGGAGTACTTGAGTCCCTCTTCGCCGAGGGTGTCGTAGGCGGTGACCACGGGCATGGACTGAGAGGCAGCGCCATGAGACATTGCCAGCCAGTGTTGGCTCGTGGCGGCGTAGAGGTGCAGACGATCGGCCTTGGTCAAGCCAATCTTGCGCAGACCGGAGCCGAGCTGGAGGGTAAGGCGCTCGTACTCGTGGAAGGTGATGTATTCGTAGGGGCTCAGCTCAAAGTAGGTCCATTGCTTGTCGACCTCGCGCTCCTCGCCGTCAACCATCTTCTTCACCTTCTTGGTCTCTCGGTGGGTGTTGACCAGCTTGCGCGAGCCCAAGCACCTGGCGTTGCCGTACTTCTCGGCGCTCTGCTTGACGAGCTCGAAGGTGGTTGTGATCTTGCCGCTGCCGGGGACGGTGATGAGGTCGGGGACCGCCTGGGGAAGTCGGCGGGGCAGAGTCTCGCCGTCCTTGGCTTCGGCGCCGGGAGAGGGAACGGAGAAGGGCCCCTTTGCCTGCATCCTGGGCAGGATGTCGAGCTTCGACTTGGGAGGCGGGACCTGAGCCATGGTGGGCAAAGTTGGCGAGTAACGGTTCGGCTACTTCGTCTGTGTGAGGATCGGAGAAGCTCTAGAAAAGGCGGGTATCGAAGCGCGGAAGCGACGGGTCGCGAAGGCGGTTTTTACCTTTGCGACAGTGGAAGGATTCTGCCCGTCCAGATGAGTTTGTTTGGTAGAGGGTGGGAAACACGGTCAGGTTGGAGGAGTGTTGGGAAGATAATTGAGGAAAGCAAGTCGAAAATGTAGGGGCAGGGCAACCCAAGGTATTTGAATTTGAGGAGAGGGCAAGGAAGGACCTGACGGGTGAAGGACGTATGTACCACGGCACGCAGCGGCGAGAGTGGCAGAGAGGCAGAGGCGGACTGCAGAGACAGGCTCAGACTGGTGGAGGACGAGGAGCTTGGGGGAAATCTTGGCTGCCACTACAAGGTTCCTAAGGTTGCCTCTGCAGGGCGAGTGGATCTCCAATGCTCCATGATGCTCGAGGTACGTACTTACTCACTGAGGTCCTGCAGATGGCTCAAGCTCCAGCATCCGCGGCCGCCCTCGTCCAGTAAGAAGGGACGCCTTCCAGGTTCCCGTTGGTACCGACTGCACGTTGGACGTCCCTAAAGTTGAGGTACCTTGGCGGGAGATGCGTCGTTGGGGTCAATTGGAACGGCGCGGTACCTTGCCTCCCCTAGGTCTCTGCCTTAGTACAGGCAGGCAATGGGAGTAATGAAAGTACCTTTGGGGTTGGGTTCAGCGTCATGCTCTCCACTGCCCGTGTCCTTCGGCCGACCTTACAGACGTTTAAGATTCGAGGCGCAACGACGAGTCTACACATAAACTGATAATGACCCCCCCTAGTTGAGGTGAGAGTCCCGTGCACTTCACCCAAAAGTAACAGAAAAATACATACTCCAGGAACCCGAAGACTATCCATAACCCGAATCCTAGCCAATGACCCGAACCCTAGCCGATCCTAACCTCTAACCCTAACCGTATTAGGCTAAAACCGTGCACGGTACTCTCACCTCAACTAGGGGGGGTCATTATCAGTTTATCGCATCACTCGCAACGACAGCTGCACCTTAGAGGACCGTCACCCACTCGCCCCATCTAGCAGCATTGGCGAACGGCCGCAGGATAAGTACCTATCCAGCTATCCCAAGGTAGACTCTCACTCAACTTGCCCATCGTCTGTTCTTTTCCCCGCCTCTCCAGTTGGGGTTGCCTTCGCCATGCCTAGGTAGCCGTAGACTATACTCGCCTCGTGTCTGTCTCTGGTTCCGTTGAATGTTTCAATCTTCCCGTCTTCAACATTCCCTCCGACCCTCCGTACCATCGTGGCTCGTGATCAGGCATGAGCCAAAGTCCACGTAGCCGTACCAGCTCGAGTGAGAACCGCCATGCAACAGGGCGTGTTCCTTCACCCCTATCTTGGCCGAGGCGCCCAGCCCAGACTTACATGGCCATCCCATCCCAAGACGGCCCCAAGATGCCCAGTTGCATTTCCGGGGAAAGTCAAACGGGGGGGGGGACACCAGACGCCTATATTGAACTTCTCCAGGTCACCCAAGCCCCCCCTTTGCTCACGCAACACCACGGGATACACCTGTACGAATACAGGCCGCACCAACTAGGCATTCTCGCCAAATACCAAGCACGACACCAAACCCGATGAAGCCGTCACAAGAGTCACGGAGCAGGGTGGTGAGTTCTCGCCGCTCTTGGCAAATTGGTTGGCGCCTTGCCTCGATTTCATCCCACTGGACCACTGGACCGTCTGTCAGCGCCCCCAAGGTCAGCCGGTTGTGTTTCGCACCCCTTCGTTGCCATCCAATGCAAGACCACAAGGCCGTGCATAGCCGTCAACAATATTCCCCAGGAAATCGAGCACCCGGTGGAGGTGAGAACTTTGAATATAAGTCGCAGCCAAGTAAGCCCCCTTCAGCTCCCTCAACCGTCCGATAACCAACGCAGCCACCGTTGCAGGAGTCTCTGTGCTGTCGGGTTCGCTATCGAAAGCAAATCGACCCTAGCTGGCTTACTTATGCCTCCCCCATCATGACTTACTAAGTAGTGGCCACCCAACCGGTCGGTTCCTAGCCCACTGACTGCGTGTTGCTTTGTGATTAGGGCTCGGTTGGCATTGGTACTCCTATTGGGGAGCACCAACACGGCCAAGGTTTGCAGTATATGCGTAGCAGTGTTGCTCTTTACAGACAGTATCGACCAACACCTCGGTATCCCATCGGCTTGCTGATGATGGGCCCGAAAAGCTCACAGTGTCTAGACGTCATTCTTACATGGAGGCCAATCCAGCTGAGCCACAGTGAGGCGCATGCTCAAGTGGCTCAGAGGCACCCTTTGATAAATAAGCTTACCAAATCATCTCTTTAAAAGGTATATGCAGATTAAGGTCCACCGGTGATCGGAACTAAAGCCCTTCAGCTACCTATCAAAGGTACCTTACCTCACTTAGAGCTCCCCTGCTCCAAAGTACTACAGGGCGTCACTTACACCGAGCCTTGGACTTCGATTCACCGACCACACGTCAGTTGCTAGCTATCAAGACTCACAGTCGTCTCAAAAGCGAACATGGCTTCTCTAGTAGCTGCAAAGAACCAGCTGCGTTCTGTCATGAAGGACAGGCTCGCTCTCATTGCCCACGAATCCATCAACACTCAGAGTAAGACATTGCTTCCAATGCTGCGTCCCGACGCCGTCTTACCTTGTCCTCCTAGGCCGAGCAGTATTTGAGACGCTCAAGACCTTTAAACCATACGTGGAAGCACAGAGGGTCAGCGTCTTCCTCTCTATGTCCTTTGGCGAAATCCAGACAGACCAAATCGTGCGCCACGCTCTGTCAGCAGGAAAGCACGTCTACGTTCCGTACTTACACAAGTCGCCTTTCCCGCCTGGGGAGACGCCGCCCAGGGTCATGGACATGGTCCGTCTCCGCGACATCCACGACTACGAATCACTTCAACCTGACAAATGGGGCATCCCCAGCATTGACCCCGAGACGGTACACCAGAGAGATCGCGTCCTAGGCGAGCCTGGTGCCGAGTCCCCTGATTCCTCCTTCTTGGACCTGATGCTACTCCCCGGGGTCGCATTCGACGTCGACGATAACTCGGGCTCACTACGGCGCCTTGGACACGGAAAGGGCTTTTATGATCTTTTCATCCGCAGGTACACGGCAAAGTATGACGGGGAGCTGTCGTCTCCCAAGCGTCCTGTATTGCTCTACGGCCTGGCTCTCGCGGAGCAGTTCATCTCTCGACCCTCCGACGGACCTATTCCCGTGGCTCAGCATGACCAACCACTCCATGGTCTCGTTTTGGGCAACGGAAAGGTCAAGAGGCCGGCAGATAGTTCCCACAACAAATAGCTTTTCTTCTCTTCTTGCCGCCTAGCCTTTCGGGGTGACAGATCCGTGGTATCAACTTTTTGTGCAATCGCCCCAGAGCGTGCCTCGCCTTTGCGGCGTCATCCTCTCAACTCGAGTCGTTCTCTAGCTCGATAAACTTTGGATCAGCGACACGTTGTCGCCCTTCAACAATATTTGTCCTGCGTGCAGGTTAGCAAACCCGCGCTTGACATCTCCGGTGTTGGAGCGGCATACCCAGCGGCCTCCTCTTCTCTTCGGGGTTCGTCTTGGTCACCTGCTTCACCTCGACTGCGTCGTCAATGACGAGGTTCATGAACTCGTCGAAACCCTATTCCTTTGTTAGCCATCGCGTTGAGCCGTATAGGTGGGAGAGATCACGCGCGCACCCTAATCTTGCCCTCAATCCGGATTGACAGCTGCTCGTACAGCCAGATTTGCACCGTGGTGTGTTGCCTGCAAGAGGTCAGTACAAGAAAGTTCAAGGATACGGAACCAGAACTGACTGGAGGAGCTTGAAGATGAAGTTGATGGGAGGAAGCAGGACTCTGCGACCGCCACCGCCTCCGCGTCCAGTCATTTTCGCGTGTGTGAGTCGGGAATCGAAGCGGTTAGGTGGTCGGGCTCGGATGGCAGACGTTTGGTGCTCGTCGGTCGCGTTTGGCTCGTGTCGATGAAATGTCGTGGGGCAATTGGTCGCAGGCTGAACGAGATCGCAGAGAGGCTGGCTTGGTGCTCTGCCTGGCCCAGGTCCGATGCGCAAGGCTCGGTCAGTCGCTGGGAGAAATTGGGCGGAGCGGGCGAAACGATGTTCCACCTGCTGGCAGACCCCACAAAATCAAACAGATCAATAGGAGCTGGTTTATGGCATATAATTATGGGCCCAATCATGTGCAGGCCGCTCTCAGTGACAGGCCTCCCCCTGCAACACTCTGCTTGCCTATGGACAACCTTGGAAAACAGCCGTCGTTGTCAAAGATACTTACCCCTCCACGCCATTTCGGGCGGAAGCCTGAAGTACCTTTCTGGCAGCCATAGTCCCCAGGTTAAGGTACCCTGCCGTCTGTCTTCGAGATGCCCTACGAGAGTGCTATGCGGTAAAACCTTCTTAGCCGGGTTTAGTTAGGTTACCTTAGGTTCCTTGTGCTCTGATCCGCCCGCTGTCCCGCCAGCCTGACTGACGTTTTATTTTCCTTTCGCGAACCTCCCTCCACCACCCCCTCCATCTGCCACTTTTGGACCATTGTCGGCGCACTGCTTTGATAGCCATTCAATCTGCCACCCCAGCAGCTCGACGCTCCTTACAGCCCGCAAAGAGCTCACCTCCTCCCTCTGCTGCGCGAGACTTTCGACTTTCCTTATACCACACGCCCTTGCGGTTCCCTAGCGCGACGTCAAATAGCACCACAACCGCCACCTTCCTAAACTGCCACCTCACACCGAAATCGCTCTTGGTTGCCCGCGCCATCCATCCCCCGCGATATATACCGGCCCAAAATCATGGCCACGAATGGTGCTTCGGAGGCCTTTGCGCCCCAGGATGTCCTATCGGCTATGGTTACGATGCGTGGTGGCGAGCAAGAGAACAAGAAGAAGGCGCACGCCTACTTGGAACGGTTCCAGAAATCTGTCAGGACACCCGGACACGGAGCGAATGACCAACACCCTTGCTAACGAATGTCTGCAGAACTCTGCGTGGAGCACCATCTTTGGTATTCTCAAGGACAGCGCAGAGCCCGAGGCCCAGCTCTTTGCGGCCATTACGTTGCGCGGAAAGGTAGATAGGTGCGGCAGTACTTGATGCGACAGCGAGCTCACCATGGCGTTTTCCAGATCACCTACGACCTTTCGACGCAAGTCCCAGAAGCCGAACTCCCTGCGTTGCGGGATCAAATCCTTCTCCTCCTCAAAGGCTTCGCCGCCGGCCCCAAGCCGATACGAGTCCAGCTTTGCGTCTGTCTGGCAACACTAGCGGTGCAGATGACGGCATGGAAGGACGTCCTTCCCACGGTGGTCTCGTCGCTCGGTGACAGCGTCGAGAGCCACGCAGCCATCCTCGACTTCCTGCGCGTACTGCCCGAGGAGGTGACCGAAGGCCGCAAAATCACCTTAACTGTATGTGGATCACGGAAACATCGAACGGCCTCTCACTTCCCGCGACGTGGTTTTACCGGGCCGATTTCAACAAGGATCAGAGTCTAATTGGCAATGATAGGAAGAAGAGCTTTCCGAGCGGACCAAGGAATTGCTGGGTGACAATACGGATCAGGTCGTGCAGCTGCTCATCAACTACTCACAATCTTCTGGTAATACCCGTCTCCCTTCGAGCCCATTTGCGGTCGAGACTGACCCTTTCCTGTAGCATCCGCCGCCCAAAACCCGCAGCTGATGGAGTGCATCACATCATGGCTGCGCGAGGTCCCCGTCAGCACCGTCGTCAACTCCCCCCTCCTCGACGTTATCTTTAACGGTGTGGGCAACGATTCGGCTTCCCAGGAGGCGGCGGAATGCTTGTGCACAGTCTTTAGAGAAACGCGGGATGTGGATGATAATCTGGAAACAATCCAGATTCTGCTCCCCCGCGTTATTGCTTTGCGTCAAAGAATCGCCGTGGTTGTCGAAGAGGAGGACACCGAGATCTACAAGTCTCTGACCAAGATCTTCGCCTTGGCAGCCGAGGCCTGGGTCGTGGCAATTGCCCGTGAGCCCGGCCATTTCAGGCCCCTCGTGGACGCTGTTCTCGAGTGCGCCGCCAGAGACAAGGACCGCGATGTTATCGAGCACACATTCCAGTTCTGGTACGAGCTGAAGCAGTACATTGTTCTGGAGCGCTACATTCAGGCCAGACTGGAGCTTGTGGACATTTACTCGAAGTTGGTCGACATCTTGCTCACGCACCTGCGATACCCGCAGTCCGAGTCTGCGAGCGAGACGGATCTTTTCGACGGTGACCGCGAGGCCGAGGAGAAGTTCCGCGAATTCAGACACCAGATGGGCGACACTCTCAAGGACTCTTGCGAGGTCATGGGAGTGACGGACTGCCTCACAAAGGTGCTCGAGGCCATCAAGGTCTGGATGCACAGCTACGCCGGTCAGGCAACGGCAACTTCAGTTCCTCACTGGCAAGAGCTTGAAGCACCCCTTTTCGCCATGCGTGCCATGGGACAGATGGTTGACAAGGAAGAGAGCATTGTCCTGCCTCAACTCATGCCTCTTCTCGTCCAGATTCCCAGCCACGAGAAGCTGCGCTTCGCCACTATCATGGTACTGGGCCGCTACACCGAGTGGACTTCGGCCCACCCCGAGTACCTGGAACCGCAGTTCAACTACATTGTGACGTCTTTCCAGACGGATTCGAAGGAAGTTGTCAGAGCTGCGGCCATGGCCATCAAGTACTTCTGCACCGATTGCAAGCAGCTCCTGAGCGGCCAGGTGATCCAAATGCAAGAGTTCTACGACCAGATTCTCGACAAGCTGCCCGATCAGAGTCAGGAGGAGATCACGGAGGGCGTTGCCAGCGTTGTTGCTGTGCAGCCGCCCACCGAGATCTACAAGCTGCTCAAGCTTTACTGCGACCCGTTGGTGCAGCGGCTGATGAACAAGGCCAACGTTGCGACCGATGACAAGGGCAAGCTGGCGCTCGCAGGTAGGTTTTATAAGTGCATCTTCGGGACCATATGACTAACTAGCCTTTAGACCACCTCCAGCTCATCACCATCTTCATCCAGATCGTGGTGCCGTATGTCGGACCTGGTGAGGAGAACCCGGCGGTCAAGTACTGGCAGGAGGTCTTCCCCGTGTTGGCAACGATCCTGGACAACTTCATGGGCTTCGTTCCGATTTGCGAGAGGATCTGCCGCTGCTGGCGAAACATGATCATCTCCTACCGCACTGCCATGACACCCCTCCTGCCGGAGATGGCCAACAAGCTGGCCGGCGGCTTTGCTGCGTCTAGACAAGGCGCGTTCCTCTGGGTCACGGCTGCCATCCTGCGCGAGTTCTCTGAAGACCGGGAACACGTCAACCAAGAGATTACGCAGAGCATCTATGCCTTCTTCGAGGCGCAGACCACGACATTCCTGCGCGTCATGAGCGAGCTGCAGCCGAGCGAGCTGCCCGACGTCATTGAGGACTTCTTCAGACTCCTGATTGACGCTCTTCTCTACTACCCTGGCAGGATCGTTCCGTCAGAGCTCCTGGGGCCCATCTTTGAGGCTGCCATTTACGCTCTGACTTTGGAGCAGCGCGATCCGCTCTCGGCGACGCTTCACTTCCTCCGTGACCTTCTCACGTACGGGGGTGATAACCCTGCGACGTCTGATGTCCTGCCCCCGGACGTGGCTGCTCAGATCCGTGAGGTGGTGAGCAAACTTCTTGCCACGCACGGCGAGAAGCTGGTCAAGCAGGTCATGGCTGGAATGATGATTACATTCCCTCGGGATTGCTTCGCTGACGGTAGTGGTGTCTTGCTGGCCATGTTCGAGCTCTTCCCCGCCCAGACGACGACTTGGGTTGAGAGCACTATCCAGCTCCTGCCTCCGGGCACCATCACACCCGCCGAGGCCAACCGACTCATGGCCAAGATCAGAGAGCGTCTCAGCGGCAACGACCCCACCGCCATCAGACAGGTGAGGGCGCTGTTGCAAGACTTCACCAACACATATCGTCGGCGCTACGTGGCTCCACGTGAGGGTCTCGGTCAGCTGGAGGCAGCTCGCTTCCACTTCACTGGCTAAGGATGGATTTTCTGATGGAGGAGGGTTTTATAAAGGTCACGACCGCCTCGAGTGCTGTTGAAAGCAGCTTTAGGGGACTGGGTAGGGGTAATGTGTTGCCCATCGAAGGGGGCCTAGAGATTATGATCTTGGAGGATGGGAAATGGCGAGGTGGGAGACGGAGAGCTTCCGCTAGGTCTGGCTGGATGCGGATAGCATTAGGATGAATGACACCTAGGCTCCAGGATTACCCACTCGTGTCCTGCGGCCGAGGCAGGTAGAGGAAGACAGGCAAGGGAGCATTTCGAAGCCTAGTTAGAGGCAATGAGTGAGGGAGCGGAAGGATTTGGGTCACGATTGCGGTGCAGTTGTTGGGGACGCACCTCGTTCTCTGCAGAGAAGAGACAAAGATGATAGACCGAGATCTGTGAGCATACATGGCTAAACATGTTTGGGGCGGCAAAGAGCGATGGCCTTTCACAGACCGACTGATAGGGGCGCATTGCCTGGTTAGAAATTCAAAAGTTTCAAATGCATTTCTTTACTGCTCATGGTAACCCTGCAATACATGGCGATGCTAGCTTTTGTTTCCTTTCGGCTCTTTGGCTTGAATGAGCAACAAAGAATGTTGAAGTACGAGTTAGCTTCAAGATGGGCTCAGTCCCAAGATCATCTTATGGCCAGGAAATAGGGGATTCGAGAGGCAAATTTGTGTCTGAACCTACTTGGTGACTTAATCATTGAAACCACCAAGTATGCCCCATTGAGATATTCTTCTCGAGACTGCTTGGACTACACTCTAGTAAATGAAGTCATATAGAGGGGGAATCATCATGTAGGTCGACGCTCTTAAAGACACACCCTGGTAGGGAACAGAACCCCTGCAGGTGGCCCGGGCTTCACATGCACTAAACGCCATTGGACACAGCTTAATGACCCAACGCAAGCACCGCGACTTGGACCTGCTCGACGCGACAACGGCCAAAAAAAAGTAAGAGCAAGAGATGTCTCGTCATGATTGCTTCCCGACTTCTCCCTCCCCGAACCACCCTTGTTTCCCCGTCACACTTTCCGTTTGCTTCTCAGCAGTCGAATGAGCACTGGTCCAATGCCAGGTCGCGATACGAGGTGATCAGCCTTCACCTAGCTCGAGGCAACTGCCTTCTTTACCCGACAACCTATCCCGAATTACGACGGCACACTGCGACTTGTTATTGCCTCTCCCACCAACTCCCTGCGTGCAATCGCCCTCTTGCGAAGCTTTGATACGAAATCAAAGCACTCGGACGAATCAAAGGCTTCACTCCCCGCCGCAAACATGCCTCCGAGCAGTGGCACAAACCGAATGGCCCAGTACGCCAGGAATGCGTCCATGGACTCGGGCCTTCCGAACGGAAGCAACAACCAGGCAGATCAACTACGATCCGGGGCAACTGGCTTCCCTACTCGACAGACCATCACCGAGTCTGCGAGGCTGCCTGCCCCCAAGCCTCTCGCGTCTGGCATACCCTTGGTGTCCCACATCCGCCAGCCTGAGCCAGGCCTGGCCCAACCTCAATCCGCACCGCCCATGCATCCTCGCCAGCCTCTGCCGGATAGCTCCCCGCCTCCACCGCAACGAAAACGATCCAACTCGCAGAGCAGCGATGGGCCTGGCTTTTGGCCCGAGTCTCACATAGATAGTCAGTTCGGCTCGCCTACCACCCAACGCACCGAGCGATACGACGCCGGCATCGACGATCGCCTCGGTGCGCTGCCGCACTCGCTGCAACCCGCTGCCGAAGTGCCTGCGATGCCCGAGTTTGAGGATACCCATCAGGCAATGGGAAACAACGGGATGCCGAGCTTCATCATTGGCAAGGACGGCTCAATGAGAGTTATGCCAAAGAACCAATATGCTCTGCCCATTACACACGGCGGCATGGCACACTCACGAGAGCAGCAGCATGAGCATGAGGAATACTCGAGCGAACCTCTCTACAACAACCACCGCTCTCCGCAGCGCCAGACAAGGATTGCCATTCACCCCACTACTGTGAAGCGACCGTACGGGGCCCCCGCCTTTGAGGATGACGAGGAAGTCTTCTCGGACGCTCCAACTCGTAAAGTCCCACATCATCAGCAAAACCTGAGGCGTGTTGTTAGAAGAGACAGGCCTCCGGAGTCCCGGCGAGCCGAACTCTTTCCAGAGGAAGAAGAAGTCGACGGCAGCCTGGCTAGTGACTATCCTGCTACAGAGGACGATCACGGTACTCCCCGCGCTAGTCGTAAGAAGAGTATGCCAACGGAAGTGCCTCCCCTTGAAGGTCCACTTCCGATTGCGGCCTGCGGCCAGCGAGACAAATCACGGAAGCGACGTCGTGAGAAGTGTGATTACGGAGACGAAGAGCTCCAGAGGATGACATACTCCCAACTACGCGAGCAACCCTTCGACGAAGATCCTGCCAAGACATCCCTTCCAACGGCTACGCCTCTGAACGGTGACAGTCTTTCAGTCAAGCTCGAACATTTCAAGGACCAGCGCGAATCCGACCAGAAAACCTTCTTTAGCCAGATGAGTGTTGGCGACTGGGAGCGGTCCGGCGATTGGTTCCTGGACCAATTTGGCAGTGTTGCGAAGAAGTTGAAAGAGGCGCGCAAGGAGAAGCGAGACATGGTTGATCGCTTCGAGACGGAGATTGCCAAAAGGGAGGAGGCAGTCCGCGTCCGGACTGAGAACATTACTAAGAAGCTGAGCAAGATCCGCCACAAGGGCGAAGACATGTTGGCAGACAAGGAGGTTTGACTGCATCCTGCAGAATATCATCACAAGGCGCCATGGATCATGTTATCGGGTGCAGGTGCATGCAAAGGGGCGTTCGGATGTGTAGCGAATTTTGATGACACTTTATGGCTAATGATTCATGGCTATCATGACTGGCGTATTGGGGTGGTTTGTTTGTATCATATTCCCGGCGTTGGCACAGGTAGTCTCTATGTCATTGACAGACTGTCCTCATAAAATGAACGATTCCTTGACCGATCTGTCTTTACGGACGACCAGTCTCATCTGATGGCCTGGGCTGTTTGGCAAGATGCCCTTTCTGACGTTATCTGAAAACAGCTCATAGGCAGGGTAGTAGCCGTCGACGAACTTGACGACCTGCTCATCAGTCATGCCCGCACCCCTCTCGCGACGGAGCGCAGCCTCTTGCTGCAGGCGCCAATCGTAGACGTACTGGGTGTCCTCGGCATCAACGTGGATAAAGACGTCGAGGAGATCAGTCATGGCGTCGTACTCTTTGAGCCTCGCGTTCACCAACAGAAGGTGCTCGAGCTTGTGCTTCTGGAGCGTCCTGCTGGGGGCCTTCCACCTGGCTTCCACCTCGGCCCCGGGCAGGGCGCGGAAGCCGACGCACCAGCCCTCGAAGATGACAACCTGGACTTTTGGCTGGCCGGGCTTGTTGACCTCTGTCCACTGGCTCTCGGGGACGCGGTCGCCCTGGCCGGAGAAGGCTGCCTTGTCGTAGGAGGGGACTTTGGTGGGCTGACCCTTGGTGATGCTGTCAAAGAATGCGCGCGCGAGCTGTGTGTCGTGCGTTCCTGGCTCCCCGCGCTGCTGGATGAGGAGGTTCTCTGGGTGAGAGCGCGCGAGGGCGACTTGGTCTGCGTGTGTGAGGTAGAGGTCGTCGATGCTGAAGACGAGGGTGGGGTGGCCTAGTTTGGTGAGGGTGTCGGCTAGGGCGCGGACGAGGGTTGTTTTGCCGACGCCTTGGACGCCGTTGAGACCGATTATGAAGGGGCGTGTTGATGCTTCATCTTGAGGGGTTGTACGGGTTTTGAGGAGGGAGGTGATGAAGGGGATGCAGAGGGGGCTTTTGTCATCGATGATGGGCGGTGCGGTGGAGGCCATGGCGGTGGTGGTAGCGGTACCTGGGGATTGGGGGAGTCACGGGTGATGCCTGTGGATGCGGAGGTGGTCCGGCGAGACAGGTGAGGGACTTCATGGCCGTTTGGACGCCGATGCCGAGAGGTGTCCGGCGGGGTTCAGCGGGATGCGGGGCGGCATGCATCCTCGCGGCGGGTTGACGCCGAAGCGCGTGTCTGGGTCCCCGGGATTGTGTACGTACTCATTTCCGCTTCTGATTACCGCGGGTGCACCATGGTGATGATTCAATCTACCGGTCCCGGCAGTATGCAATGTTCTTCATGGTTGAGGTGGGCTGAAAGCTGTCACTGCAAGATCTTTGGCAGAAAGACTTCATCTTTAATGTATCAGTCATCAGCTAGCTAGGAGCCAGAGTGAATCGGCAGAACCCCACGGCATCTCATCTCGTGCTGTAGGCGAGCATACCCGAGATCTTACCAAGGCTAAATTTCCTCGTAGGGAACCATTGAATCTAACTTGCAAGATTCACAGGGGACTCTGGACCTCCCAGACAGACTTTGGTCGGCAGCTGGGGTGACCAGTAGGAAGAAGGGGCTGGTACCCATCTCTTTCGGCGCCGTCTGTGTTCCCTGGGGCCATCAACTCAGCACAGGTCCGTCGGCATCGAGTGGGCACGGCATCCCGCTCTCTCGCCTTTGCACCTTGGGCCTTGGGGCTTGGTGGCCGTTCCCCAGTGTTCCACGGCGCCAGACACTGGGGAGACGCTGGGGAAGTACGTACCCGCTGCCGACCGGAGGCTGGCCCAGTACAGCGCTGTGAGTGGTCAGACTGGTGGTCGAGCAGGGGCATGTGACATGGAGTGGCGGGGTTGACTTCCTTCCCCACATGACCTCATGTGCACGATGGGGTACGTGGGTACCTCGTCGCGCTCGAGTCCATTGGAGACTTTGTATCCCACGGCAAACGGAGCATGTGAAGTTTGGCCTTAGCCGCTTTCAGACTAGCGTAATTCGTCGGCTTCGGACACAGCAAGCTGCCTCGGCTCTCTGAGCGGCTGCCGTCACGCTGCACAGAAGACAGTTGCCGGAAGCGCAGAAGTTAGAAAACCACCACGTCCGTCCTTTCACAAGAACAAAAGATTCATTGGATTGATCATCGTTGCGACCTCTTAACCATATCCAATCTCCAAACTTCTTCTGGATTTCTCTGTGCCACCTGTATTTCCATTTAGCGACTGTTCTCTCCCTCTCTCTCTTCAATCCATCACATACACACAATGGCTGGTCAGCTACGCTTCGACGGCCAGGTCGTCGTCGTCACTGGCGCTGGCGGTGGCCTCGGCAAGGCCTATGCCACCTTCTTTGGCTCCCGCGGCGCCAGCGTCGTCGTCAACGACCTCGGAGGCTCCTTCAAGGGCGAGGGCAACTCAACCAAGGTATGGCATCTGATAGATAGAAGCGTCCGGGTGCGCATCGCTGACGTCTGACTACCCAGGCGGCCGACGTTGTCGTCAACGAGATCAAGGCTGCCGGCGGCAAGGCCGTGGCCAACTACGATTCGGTCGAGAACGGTGACAAGATCATCGAGACGGCGATCCAGAACTTTGGCCGCATTGACGTGCTGATCAACAATGCTGGCATCCTGCGCGATATCAGCTTCAAGAACATGAAGGACGAGGACTGGGACCTGATTATGAAGGTGCACGTCAAAGGATCGTACAAGTGCGCTCGCGCGGCGTGGCCCCATTTCAGGAAACAAAAGTACGGCCGTGTCATCAACACGGCCTCGGCTGCCGGTCTCTTTGGCAGCTTCGGCCAGTGCAACTACTCTGGTACGTGTCCCACCCGGTGCCCAATTGATATAAATCGCCTCGTGATGCTAATCCGGTTCGTGCAGCTGCCAAGTTGGCCATGGTCGGCTTCACCGAGACTCTGGCAAAGGAGGGCGCCAAGTACAACATCCTGTGCAATGTCATTGCACCAATCGGTACGTGCAACGTGTGGGCAAGCGGAGCCGCGGGCAGGGGAGATAAATCATGAGCGCTAACTGGTACAAACAGCCGCCAGCAGAATGACCCAGACTGTGATGCCGCCCGATGTGCTGGAGATCTTGAAGCCCGAATGGGTCGTTCCCCTCGTCTCCGTCCTCGTACATAAGGACAACAAGGATGAGAACGGTTCCATCTTCGAGGTTGGCGGTGGTCACATTGCCAAGCTGCGTTGGGAGCGGTCCAGCGGTCTCCTCCTCAAGGCCGACGACAGCTACACACCCAGCGCCGTCATTAAGAAGTGGGATCAGGCCATCGACTTCTCCAAGCCTCAGTACCCCTCTGGTCCTAATGACTTCTTGACCCTCTTGGAGGACTCCATGAAGATGGGCCCCAACGAGCAGGGTGAAAAGGTTGACTTCACCGGCCGTGTGGCTCTCGTCACTGGCGGTGGTGCCGGGTAAGCTTATGGAACATTGCATGTGCTCGTTCGCAGCTAATAGCCTTCAGTATCGGTCGTGCCTACAGTTTGGCATTCGCCAAGCACGGCGCCACGGTCGTTGTCAACGACTTGGTCAACCCCGACGATGTTGTCAACGAAATCAAGAAGCTTGGCGGCAAGGCTGTTGGTATCAAGGCCTCAGCAGAAGACGGCGATGCTGTTGTCAAGGCCGCGATTGATGCTTTCGGACGCATTGATATCATTGTCAACAACGCCGGCATCCTCCGCGACAAGGCCTTCAACAACATGGACGACAGCCTCTGGGACCCCGTCCTGAACGTCCACCTCCGCGGTACCTACAAGGTCACCAAGGCCGCCTGGCCGTACTTCCTCAAGCAGAAGTACGGACGCGTCATCAACACCACCTCCACCTCTGGCATCTACGGCAACTTTGGCCAGGCCAACTACGCCGCGGCAGTAAGTATCATGGCGTTGAACCTCGGGACATGATCACTAACAAACGTACAGAAATGCGGTATCCTGGGCTTCTCCCGTGCGCTCGCGCTCGAGGGCTACAAGTACAACATCTACGTCAACACCATTGCTCCCAACGCCGGCACTGCCATGACAAGAACCATCATGCCCGAGGAGATGGTCCAGGCCTTCAAGCCCGACTACATTGCGCCCGTTGTCCTCGCCCTCTCCAGCGACAAGGTCCCCAAGAACCCTACCGGCGGCCTGTACGAGGTTGGCAGCGGTTGGGTCGGCCAGACCCGCTGGCAGAGAACCGGCGGCCACGGCTTCCCCGTCGACGTCCCCTTGACTCCCGAGGAGGTTCTCAAGCACTGGGACGCCATCAGAAACTTCGAGGACGGTCGCGCCGACCACCCCGAGAAGACCCAGGATGGCCTTCAGAGCATCATGGCAAACATGGAGAACAAGAGCAACAAGTCCAAGGTATGAAGACTTTCTCGGCAGCGCAATCCTGTAAAGTAGCAATAGCATCAAAAATAAGAACAATGTTGATCAAGTGTCCTTACAGTCAGAGGCAAGCTCCGGAGGTGACAGCAAGTACCTCGACGCCATCAAGGCCGCGCAGAACGCCGAGAGCAAGGGAACCGAGTTCCAGTACGAGGAGCGCGACGTGATGCTCTACAACCTGGGCATCGGCGCCAAGCGCGACCAGCTCAAGTACGTCTTTGAGGGTGCCGACGACTTCCAGGTGGTGCCAACCTTCGGCGTCATCCCGCCCTTCAACACGGAGCTGCCGTATAACTTTGATGACATTGTCCCCAACTTCTCCCCCATGATGCTTTTGCACGGCGAGCAGTACCTCGAGATCAAGAAGTACCCCATCCCCACCGCCGCCAAGCTCGTGTCCACAGGCAAGCTCCTCGAGGTCGTTGACAAGGGCAACGCCGCCATTGTCAAGAGCGGCATCACCACGGTCCATGCCGAGACCAAGGAGCCCGTCTTCTACAACGAGATGACTGTGTTCCTCCGAGGCTGCGGCGGATTCGGCGGCCAGAAGAAGCCCGCGGACCGTGGCGCCAGCACGGCGGCCAACAAGCCTCCTTCCCGCCACCCCGACGTCGTTGTCGAGGAGAAGACGACCGAGGAGCAGGCGGCGCTGTACCGTCTGAGCGGTGATTACAAGTGAGTTGAAGTTACTTCCTAAGTATTAAGATTGTTGACTGACGTTTGACAGCCCCCTCCACGTCGACCCTGCCTTTGCCAAGATGGGCGGCTTCAAGGCCCCCATCCTCCACGGCCTCTGCTTCTTCGGCGTCGCCGGCAAGGCCGTGTACGAGCGCTTCGGCCCCGTCAAGAACATCAAGGTGCGCTTCGCCGGCACCGTCATCCCCGGGCAGACGCTCGTGACGGAGATGTGGAAGGACGGCGGCAAGGTCATTTTCCAGACAAAGGTCAAGGAGACGGGCAAGCTGGCCATTGGCGGCGCTGCGGCGGAGCTGGTTGATGACAAGAGCAAGCTCTAAACTGTTGCGTGGAAGACTACTCCGGACATGTTTTTTTCTAGTTTGTATGAGTACATGGCTCTCTCGGTATGATTCATGAGATTTTTCAAATCAAGTTTAGGAATAAGGCAGGTTATGAACTTTAAAGTTGAATGTATTTACCAATTACAAAAGGTTATTTTGTTGTAGATGAGCGCCGCGAGACGACAGCCCTCATTTACTCTACCCTCATGATGTGAGGTTGTTCCCGTTTCTCGACCATCCCGCAAGCCCTGAACGCCCCAGAAATGCCCATATACCGGTATACTCATGACCTTGTCAAACTCCGAGGCTCTTGTCTTTCTTTCTCTCGTGTTTCCCAACATGCCGCATCATGCCGCTCTACAAAGCACACATGTACTCGGAGCGTGCTTCACACAAAAATGGTCTCAACCACAAAGTCGCAGAGCTCTGGCAAGGTCGGCAATTGACCGTTCTTGAGGCGGTTCTCGACCGGCGAGACCCCGTTCCTGGCGAAACCCGTCTCCAAAAAGGCTTTTTCGGCCCCATTCAGCTCGCGTTTCTCCGTCTCGCGCCACTTGGTCTCGGCCTCTTCCCTGGCCAGCCTCAGCACCGAGTC